CGGTTTACAGAGTCAGTCTGCTATGCTGCCTAGAGGAGGTGCAGGGCACATTTCCTCCAGTTTTGCAGTTGGTAAAGGCGTCAGATACCTCACCGGCTGGAGGTGATGGGAGCAAGGTGGGCATCTTTCCCTTGTCCCACACCACAGATGAGGGAGGCAGTACCAGCTCTGCCCTCCTCACACCCTCAGGGCTGGCTCACCCATGCCCCTGTCTACAGTGCCAACTCTCCTTTCCTGTGCTGCCCAGGTGAGGAGAGGGATCCGTTCTCCCAAATGCTGCAGCGGGTGAGGGGGTGCCGATTTTCTTTTGTTGGAAGTTTATAGTGATGTGTTTAATAGTCCCTCAGTGTCTGGTCCAGTCTGCGGTGTGGTTGACTGACTGGACATCTAGACGTCAGCGCGTTCCTTCCAGGCCAGCCAAGGGACGAGCCTCTGGATTCTCTGTAAAGGTTTCTTTGAATTTTGTATATTCCAATCAAACCAACCAATATTATCTCTGTCTAGATTCCTAAAGAGCTCTAAAAACTGTCGTTTTAAAAATATGGAACTGGATATCATCTATGTTAATTTATTCAACAACTATTTTACAAGTACCTACTATGCTTCTTAGAATATATAAAAATTATTTTTAATGCTCAAATATAGGTTTGGAGAAGGCAGCTCAGCTAGCAAAATGCCTGCCACATGATCACAGGGGCTGAGTTTTCACTCCCAGACCAGGGCGAAAAGCGGGAGACAATGAGTGGCATGCTCCTGTAGCTCCAGTGCTGGAGGGTTAGACACTGATGCATCCCTGAAGCCACTGACCAACCATCCAGGCTGAACTCATGAACTTCAGGGTTATTGAGAGACATTGTATAAAAAAAGAAAAAGAAAAAGAAAAGAAGAAGAATGGAAGGAAGGAAGAAAGGAAGGAAGGAAGGAAGGAAGGAAGGAAGGAAGGAAGGAAGGAAGAAAAAGTGGAGAGCAATTGAGGAAAGACAGACACGGAGTCAATCTCATGCACCCACATGCATGCACACCACATGATCCCTCCCATGTGCATGTGTGATGATACCTCCCATGTGCACACATCCACATTAACAAGTACACATGTCACACCCTCATACATACATACTTACTACACATGCTACCTACACACATGTATATAACACATACTCCACATATAAACACATATACATACATGTCCACAGTCACATCCCATATATGTCACACACCATGTGTTCGCTAGTTTTATGTCAACTCGACACAAGCTGGAGTCATTCTGGAAGAAGGCGGAGTCTGATCTAGGGGCGACATCCTTTTGGTTTGGGTGCACACAAATGTTTCTCTCATTAAATATGTGTAAGAGACCACTTTCACAGTCTGTATGCCCATTCACATTTGTAATTGCTTCTCTATCATATATAAGTGAAACCTGAGGGCATGAATTAACATTATAAGAATAGTTTCTGTTTTGCACGGGGCAGTGAACACAGGCTAAGCTTTCTTTTTCAAAAGATCAACTGATGCATTTGGTCACTTAGTGGATCAGTTATTTAAATGTGAATTAAATCTGTTTTGGGACAGAATTACAGTTAGTTTATCAAAGCAGTCCAGTAATACATAATCATGACACATCCTGATTATGAATATTCTTCTTGGCTTTATTTGATGAGAAATATGATACCAGGAATGGGCAATATAAACATGGTTGTATGTGTGTCTTGCATACATTTCTTACAATTAGGTCATGAGGACTCCCAGCACTGAGCCAGTTTCTAGAGATTTCAAAGAACCCTTATGATGTTAGTGAATAAATAACCAAAGTTCTGGTGGCTGGAGAGATGGAAAGGTGGTTAGGAGCACTGGCTGCTCTTCTAAAGGTCCTGAGTTCAATTCCCAGCAACCACATGGTGGCTCACAACCATCTATAATAGGATCAGATGCCCTCTTCTGTCATGCAGGAATACATGAAGTAGAACACTCTTGTACATAAAATACATAAATAAATAACTCTTTTGAAAAGAACCAAGTTCTGATGAAAAGTACAATTTGAAAAAACAAACATTAAAACGAATGGATTATAAGCTGCTTCTACATGTCTAGGGCCCCCACAAGTATTCAAATTGGGAAACAAACATAGCATTGTGTGTTTATCCATCAATTGGTACTGTTTTTCACATGAAGCATGCATCTTGATCATTTTTAGCAGTATCTGTAGTGAAGATGTTATTTCTATTTTAAAATAAAACTCTCTTGTAGATTCCTAGGATGGCCCCAGCTAAGACTCCAGCAATAGTGGAGAGGGTGTCTGAACAGGCCTTCCCCTTTATTCAGATTAGTGACTACTCTAATTGTCATCTTAGAACCTACATCCAGTAACTGGATGGAAGCAGATGCAGTGATCCACAGCCAAGCTGTGCTCCTGGGCTGAGCTCCTGGAGTTCAGTTGAAGAAAGGGAGGAAGGATCATATGAACAAGGGGGGTCAAGAGCATGATGAGAAAAAAACACAGAGATAGCTGACTTGATTTAGTGGGAGCTCATGGACCATGGACTGACAGCTGGAGAATCTTCAAGGGACAAAACTAGGCCCTCTGAATGTGGGTGACAGTTATATGACTTGAAGTGTTGTTTGGAGGGTGGGCTGGCAGTGGCACCCGGACCTATAAGTGCACGAACTGGCTTTTTGGAGTCCATTCCCTATGGAGGGGTACCTTTTGCTCAGCCATGATAAAGAGGGGAGGGGCTTGGTCCCACCTCAACTTGGTATGCCAGACTTTATTGACTCCCCCAAAGAAGGCCTTATCCCCTCTAAGGAGTGAATGGGGATTGAGAAGCAGGGAGGTGGGGGCAGGAGAAGGGGAAGGAGAGGGAACTGGGGTTAGTATGTAAAATAAAAAATAAAAATTTTTAATTAAAATAATAAAAAGAATGGGTAATTGCTTTAGACTTAGTGATAAAAGTAAATAAGTAAGTAAATATATTAATATTGCAAAATTCCAGGAAAGCAATAAACACATTTAATATGCTGACTCATGTACCCCAAGAGTATAGATTGTATTTAGTACCTGACAATAAATAGTTTGTATAGGAAGGATCAATGAGTGATTGCCTAGATATTATTATATTTTGATTGAGTGTGATCTTATCTTCTGTTTGAGTACATGTATATTAAAAAGATAAAATAAAACTCCCAGTTATAAGCATGTTTGGAAAGGGTTGCAGAGATCATCCAACAGTCAGATGGGCAGATACGCAAGAGGGAGGCAGAGTTGAAATCCAAGTCCTAAGTAAGGCTGGTTAGAAGAGCCCGAAGTTGCACCCAAGACTTGTAACACCCGATTCAGGGCTTCACATTTCAAAATACACCACACACTAGACTGAACTTCAGTTTGAGATCATGGGGATAACTGAGGTGGCACTGGAGAGATGACTCAGTGGGTAAAGTCCATGTTGGCATCGGCACTATTCCTGGAGAAACAACAAACGTTTACTCACCCCATAGAGGGAACTGACAACAGGCCAAAATAAGGACACCACCAAAGCCCAGGTTAGTCAACTGATGAGTTTTATTGGGGCTACTTAAGGGGTTATGTACAAGAGCAGAGACTACTCAAAGACAGCTGTGTCACCAAAGCCCATAAGCTGGGTATCCGCTCATAAAAACTGTAAACCTGGAGCACACTGCACAACTTGCAGGCAGCTCAGCAGGTTGGAAAGTGTCTCCTTCAAGCATCTCATGTGGTCTTAGACTCTTCTAGGCAGGGTGGCTACTCTGCCTTTTATGGGCAGTTAGGCTTGTCTGAGAGTGTCTCTCAGCAGACCTTACTGCTTATCTATACTCGGAAAAAGAGGAACTTAGTGAATCTGGCAAGTTTCAGGGTCTTCCTGAAACTTTTGAGTTGTTCACTTCCCGAGCTTAAAAAGATTCCCTGTAGGATGAGTTTTTTTTTCACCTACCTTAGGATATCCTGTTTCTTAACAAGTTCCCCTCCAAGATGAAAGGTTTTGTCTCAGAGCAATTTGTTACACAATAGGGGAGCACATGTCTATAACCCAAATGCTGGGAGGTGGAGACTAGAGGATCCCAGAGACCTGTTGGCCAGTCACACTAGCTGAAATAGTGAGTTTCAAGTCCAATGAGAAAGAGCTTGTCTCAAAAAAGACAGCTGATGTTGACCTCTGGTTTACACACACACACACACACACACACACACACACACACACACACACCACACAGAGAGAGACACAAGTGCACATACATACACACAGAAAGAAAAGGACACACACACACAAAACACACATAGAATATGTAGAGTTTCATCACAATTCAAGCCCAATATATTAAAATTTTATCATTTTAACCTACGGAATCAGAAGAAATAACCTTATTTGTGGTGCATTTCTGCATTCCAGATTGAGTAGAATTTATGTGAAACATTATTTGAAGTTATCCCTAGTATTAGTATATTTCAAGCTATCAGATTTCCCTAATATCAATATTACTTTATATGCAAATTAATAACATGTTTACAAAGTCATTTTGGAAAAATATTTTCTCCTTATTGAAACTGAATGTAAAGTTATTACTTGTGTCATAATTTCTTGGCTTTGTAGTATTATAACAATAACTTTGGAAAATAAGGTAAGTTAAAGATAATCATAAAAACATGACAACGATAGTATTAATGTTCATTAGATTTTCTGTTATGTATTTAATCATCCTAGCTAATAATTCAGTCTTATCCTGCAATACTTACCCTGGGTTGGGTGGCATAAAGAAACAGAGTGATTTTTTAATACTAAATATTTATTATTCTTTTTACTTGTAAGAAAGCATATGCATCACAAAATCAAACTAATTTAATGTGAAATGATTCTGTAATATTGACCCTATATATTAAAGCATTGAAGTTTAAAGACTTATTTGTAAACTTTCTTTTGTATTTTCCATAGACAGCTGGGTTTTTTTTTTTTTAATGTGTATTGCTTTGTTTTTGATTTATTGTTTTCCAGGTGCACATCTCTGAAGTAAGATGATTTGTCAGAAATTCTATGTGATATTATTACACTGGGGTAAGTTGCATATACCTTTGTGTATTTGGAAGGTTATTTCTAGATTAATTTCTAAAGAGGAACTTTTATATTGAACAGTGACTTTGGTGTTTTGTGGTCCCAACCTATGCCTATAAATAGCTGTTCTTGTTTAGGTTCTAGCAATACAGGTTACCATTCTTTCATCAAACAAGACTAATATAACATTGCATTTTAATTTTGTGTGTGTGTGTGTGTGTGTGTGTGTGTGTGTGTGTGTGTGTGTACACGCACGGGCACATGTGCTTGCGTGCCTTCCTGCATGCCTGTCTGTATGCCTGTCTATGTGAGGTTGGGCAGTTAGTTGACTACATTTCTGGTGAGATTTTTAGCTCATACATTCCTAACTACCTTTTTGTTGGGTTTTATTGGTCTTAGACAGATTTTAGAATTTTCTAAAATGTAATAGAGTTTTAGCTTGTGTTTAGGCTCCACGGAGAATCAGAACTGATGGTGCCTGTTTGTGGATGTTTATAAACAGCTGGATCATGTAATTATGAAGTCTGGGTGATCCAAAAATCTGCAGTTGGAAAACCACAGACATAGGAAAGGCAATGGTGTCAAAGTGCAAAGGTCTGAAACACATACACACATACCCCTTCATTCACATATATAAATACAGATGTACACTTTTGTAGTAATGGCAGTACAATGCTCTGAGGGGATATTATCAAGGAATGGCGCTTATCTTTGGAATGGTCACTGAATACCACAACTTTTCACAAGAGTTAAATACATATCTCTACTCTTACCCATTATAAACTTGTCTTTCAGAGAATGATTCTTCAGATGTTTTATGTATGTTTTTTAATAGTCTTGTAGTTGGAGAAAACTATAACATTTTCCTATTTGAAACTAAACATACATTGCCTGTGACTTTTTTAAACATAGGAAAACCTAGTTTATTATTTATATTTTGGTGCCCAGACTTTTTCAAATTAATTTGTAATTGTAAAGTATTTGTTTTTTGTTACTATGTATTTATTACATAGGGAATGTTTTTGAAGTCTATAAAATATGGAGAGTTAAAATCAACTAATAAATGTGTCATTTCATTATCATCTTGATGCTTTGAGCACTTAATATCTGCTCCCCTAACGTTTTCTAAGGATGTCTACATTGCCATTATCTATAGTTGGCACACTGTGTGTTGGGTCTTTGACCTTCTTCCCATCTAGTTGTGTGTGTGTGTGTGTGTATATATATATACACATACATATATATATATATATATATATATATATATATAAAATTTTCTAACTCATTTACAACTTCCTCTGCTATCTCATGGTTCACATTCTGCTCTCTGCCTGTATAAGGTCTATTCATTTAGAATTCACATGGCCATGTGACATTTGCCTTTCTGTGCCTGGCTTTACTTAACATATGTCCTCCTTGTGTTGACAATGGTAGCTTCCTTTTTTTTTTTTAATGGCTGAACCATATCTGCTGCTATAGGGTGGGTGTAAGTTGATTGTCTCCCAATGAGCCACTGTGATGGGAGATTTGGTCTTTAGGTAATGGTATAAGGAAGTGCTATGAACTCTTTAAATCCTGGGTCCCAGAGGGTGGTCTTTACACACTCTTGGGATTTATGACTCCTTGAGTCATAAAAGCACTGTCCTATTGAACAAGCCTGGGTTAATCTAGCTGTCTGCTTATGATTGGAGGTTTATTCACTTGTTTGACCCCATAGTATGTTCAGGCTGCCTTCCTTGAGAGTTTACCATGTTGTTTAGCATGTTTTAGTCTCCAAAACTAAGCCCCTTTTATTGTAAAGTTAGGCTGTGTCCAATATTTCATTATAGAAATGAAAAGGTGGACAGTGCAGTGTGTATATAAACAGTCCTTTACTCACTCATTTGTTAATACTTAGGTTGATTTTGTATCATGAACGGTGCTGTGATCAACATTGGCGACTTTGTTTTGTTTGGTAGACATCCCATAGTTCCATTGCTGGACTGCATTTTTCGGTTTCAGAGGCATCTCCATACCATTTTCCCTAATGGCTGTGCTGATGTACACTCCCATCAACAGTGTGCAAGGATTCTTCTTTCTTCTTACCTTGGCTAATGCTTGTCAGTTTTACCTTTTTGAGGATTGTTTTCTAATAGGAACAGAGTAATGTTATTGCTGTGATTTTGATTTATCTGCTGATTAGTGAAGATGAACATTTTCTCACATGGAGGCCAGAAGAGGGTTCTTATTTTCTGAAGCTAGAGTTATAGAACTTTGTAAACTACCATGTGAGTGTCAGGAATTGAACCTGGGACTTCCTGGAAGAGTAGCAAGTTGAATCTCCTCTCTAGCTCCTTGTGTATCTTCTTTTGGCAGATGTTTGTTTGTGCCTTTTCAATGTCACATCCTCCTTTTCTTTTTAACACACTGAATTCAATTAGTGTCACATGGGTGTGGGGTCCCTTGTTTACTTTGGATATTAACCCCATATTAGACACACACTTTATAGACTTTTTTAGTCCATTCTGTAGTCTGACATCTGAACAGTCACTCTGTTGAGTATTTCCTTTGCAGTGAGGAATCTAGAGTTTGACATCGTCTTTTTTTTTTTTTTTTTTTTTTTTTTTTTTTTGTGCAGCAGTTGCCTGTGGTTTAGGAGTGTGTCTCAGAATATCACATAGTTCAATGTCTGTGATTCCCAACTTGACTTCAGTCTTGCATAGTTGTAGGTCTGCTATTTAGGCCACTGATCCATGTTAAGTTACTTTTGTATTTGATGAAAAATGGAGTTTTTTTTTCTTCTTATGAATATCCATGTTTTTCTCCAGTGCCATTTACTAAAGAGACCATTCCTTTTCCAGGGAATTTCTTGCAGGCAGCTTTGTTGAACCTTCATTTGTTCTAGATACACAGTTTAATTTCTGAGTTCCCAGTCATGCTCCATCGATTCAGGCATCTTTCCCTTGTCATCATTGTGCTGTTGTACTTACATGACTTGGTCCTATGTTTGGAATCGGCTTTGCATTTGTGTTTATATGCCTGTCTTAGAACTTGCTCTGTAGACCAAGCTGGCCTCAAACTCAGAGATCTGCCTGCTTCTTCTGCCTCCCAATTCTGGGATTAAGAACATATGCTACTTGTCTGGCTGGAGGCAGCTTTGTTCTTGGTCATGATTTCTTTCATGTTTGATGGTGTTTTTGTGGTTCCACATGAACTTTTGTAGTGTTCACTTTATGTTAAGAATGGTATTGGCATTTTGATATGGATTACATTGAATTTATGCCCTGATTTGGGTAATAAATTTTTTTAAAAAATTTAAAAGAATCTTTAAATTGTATGGAAATACAATATTTTTCCATTTGTCTTTAATTTCTTTCATCCATGTTCTATTGTCAGTGTATAAATCTTTCATTTCCTTGACACAGTTTTTAATATGTAGTTATTATAAATAGAATGCTTCCTTCTTTTTTATTCCTTTCCCCCTTCTTTTGGGTCTCACAATGTTGCCCAGGATGGTCTTGAACTGATGGAGCTAGTGATCTTCTGTGTCAGCCTCCTAAGTAACTAGAACTACAAGTGTTCTATAAGTGTACTTTTTAAAAACTTCTTTTCCCTGTATTTTGATGTTTATTGACATCTAAAGTCTATAGTTCACACCAGGGTTCACTTTTGTCCATCCTGTAGCCTTGGACAAATGAATGATGGTACTTCCCCACTACTGTAGAATCAGATTGAGCAGTGTCCCTGCCTGCTTGTCCCCCACATCCTGCTTATTCTCCCCTCTGCTCAGCTTAAATCCTGGCAACCAGCATCCCTTGGTGGAATAATGCAGGTTGTTTCATTATGATGGTTTCTTATCGATATACATGTAAATTTCCTGTGTCTTTTCATGGCTTGATTTTGTATTTCTCCTTTGAACCAAATGTTATACCTCTGCCTGAATTATGCACTTTATTTATCCATTTAGACACCAGAGAACATTCTGTTTGCTTCTGTTTCTTTACACTTTATTACATTGAATTCTTCAAAAACTCTCATACCATTAACAATTCTCAGAACTCTCACACTGTGCTAGTGAATATATACAGTGAGAAAGTCATCAGATCATCTGTAAAATGAAGAAAGGTAGAGAGTTTATTGTTTACTTTCAAAATTTTTCTTACTTAAAGATAAGCTTAGAATTTGAGACTTTTGGGATACAGTTCTGTGAATGCTCTTAGTTTTATGTTTAAAAGGTAATGATTTGCCTGCAGTGTGGATTTCCTGGAGGGAGTCTCTGGCTTTGCATCATTTCCTGGGGAGTGTGTGGGGGCATTTCCTATAGGACACGGTAGTCTGGGATGTCTCAAGAGGCCTTGAAACTATCTTTAAGTCAGACAGACTTTCTATGAGAGTCTTTGGTGAAAAGTGTTAACATACTGTATGACTCTTCCAATGACTATTAAGAGTACTTTGGTACTTATTGATGTAATTAAACATCCAGATAGTTCTTATTTATTCTGAAAGTTAGAATAATTTTGTTGTAAAAAGGAAGGGATTCATGTAAATTTTCTCATACTAAAATGTAAACTCGTTAGATCAATGAGAAAATTTGATGCAAGAATTTCTAAAGGAGAAGTGCCAGAGAATGGCATTAGTTAAGTATTTCTGAGTACTGCACCATTTAGTCTCAAGCACTTTCCAGTTACATTTTGGTCAAAATGATCACTTGTTTCCTGTGTCTTTTTTTCCTGTCCTAACAGAATTTCTGTATGTGATAGCTGCACTTAACCTGCCATATCCAGTTTCTCCCTGGAGATTTAAGTTGGTTTGTGCACCACTAAATACAACGGATAACTCCTTTCCTTCACCTGCTGGAATCCCAAAGAATGCCTCTGCTTTGGGTGGGGGTTATGAAGCAGTTTTTGAAACTAACTTCAATGCAAGCAGCACATATGTTTCTGAGTTATCCAAAACCATTTTCCACTGTTGCTTTGGGAATGATCAAGGTAAAAACTGCTCTATGCTAGCAGGCAACACTGAAGGGAAGACACTGGCTTCAATGGCAAAGGCCTTGATTTTTCACCAGCTAGGTAAGTACTTTTGTGTCCTAAGTATACACTGTTGTGTTATGTCTGTATCCATCAAAATGTCTTAATTCTCTAAAACGTGTATGCATTAGATATCTTATTATGCAATTAACATATATTATAAATTTTGCATAGTATTAAAATTATGATTCATTGTGTGAGTAATAAATATGCTCTGATCATTTTGTAGCTTATAAGGGAACTCCTTTACTTTTGAATACACTCTTTAGAGTCTAAATTTTCTTGGGAGCAGAAAAAAAATGCACACTTTAAATAGAGAAAATATCAAATTACTAGCACTATCCTGTTGAAGGAGTGAGATTTCAAAATGTTTACAAATAATAATGAATTGTGCAGGCAAATAATCTCCCGGAAACAGTATATGTTATGCTGAGTGAGTTTAGTTGTTGTCTTAAGAATAATACACACTGAAAGCAACACGCTTTGTTACTTCTGTGTATAAAAATTCAAACAACAAAAGTATTTCTAAGCCTTCTGAAGGGGCAGAGAAGACTCAATTGACTCAGTTACATGAAAAGACCCCAAATAGGGAAAAATGGGCATACCCAAGTAAGAACTCATGTGCTGTTAGTTGGGATTCCCTGGTTGATATTAATGACCGTTCAGTCCACATAATTCGTCAGGCTGACCTCTGTTCGCCAGAATGCTTAATGGTAGTCCTGGTCTCCATGCAGCAATGAAGGAAATACCTTTATCTACAATACATGTGTCCAGCCTGCCATAGTGGCACATGAGAGGCCAAGACAGGAGGACTTGTTCCAGACCCTGTCTCAGCAACCAAACTGAACAAAGGAAATCTTCAGATGTTGCCAGATGCTCCTCTATCTACCCTGTTTAGCACTTTTGATTATGTGAGAGAGTGCCAGATGCTCTTGTAGAGGACCTGTTTTGTTTCATAGCACTCACATCTGTACACTCACAACCACCTCTAACTCCAGTTCCAGGTGTTCTGAAGCTCTCTTCTGGTCTCTGTGAACTTGCATGCCTTTGGTGTACTTAAACTCACACGGGCACACACACACACACACACACACACACACACACACACACAGAAATAAAACAAAATAAATCATTGCAAAAGAATAATGCTAAAACTTAACTATGTTGTAAAATTAGATTTTAAAAGTAAGTAAATAGGAATAATTCCAATTAAGTTCATAAATGTTAGTGTCATTTTGAATGAAGGTTTTTTTAATTAGTAAGGGAATAGCTTAGCCAATCCATTGCTTATTAAATACATTAAGAATGAACGGAGTCTTAATATTGAGTTTTGGATGATAAAATTATTATTTTTTTACTTCTGAGGGGTAAATGAATATCAAACTATGTATTTTAATTTTATATTATAAATGGGCAATAACTAGTTAACTTTGAAGTGAATTAAATTTTTTGTGACTAAAGTGAGGAGGGGTAAGTAGTGGCTACCAAAGATTTCAATTTGTTATTCATATAGGTTTTGCCTTCATACAAGGTACCCAATAACTAGAAATACTTCTCATATGGAGAAATTTGTTAGTGTTGTCTTAAAACAATTTTGCCTTGTTAATCATATATATATATATGTGTATATAAAATTCCATATTTTATATATATATAATTTTTATTTACATATATATGGGTGTGTCTGTGTGAATGATGGCACACGTGTTTGGATGCCCATGGAGGCCAGAAGATGGCCTCTGGTCCTGGGGAGCTGACATTACAAGTGGTTATAGGTAGTTGTCTTGATGTACTGATTTCTCCTGAAAAGTAAATATTAACTAATATAAATAAAAATGAGTCTTGTTCTGTTTAGGTAACTTGAGATTAAAAACAAGTTGAGAAATAGTAATTGTACTTAAATTTCTGATTTAAAACAGGTCGGGGCAGTGTGGCGGGGGGTGGGGGGGTGAGGGGGTGCTGAGTTACTCAACTGGAAGGCACTGAATGGTTCATGCAAACACATGCTAACAGCACGTGTTTTCCTCCTCTCAGATTGGGCAGCAGAAGTAGTATCAGATCACTGCTAAATTCCATTCAGCACTTCTCTTTGACCGGGTTGTTCAGAGCAATTTCCCCCCCAGGTTTAATGCAGTTTATTTTTAATGCAGGTGTAAACTGGGACATAGAGTGCTGGATGAAAGGGGACTTGACATTATTAATCTGTCACATGGAACCATTAAAGAGCCCCTTCAAGAACTATGACTCTAAGGTCCATCTTTTTTATGATCTGTGAGTACCTATGAAATTAACTTGGCTAGTCATATGACCTGATTTGCTTAAAGTGCCGAAGTGTGTTTAGAACCCATCCTATCCCTGCTTTTCTTGTGTAGCTGTGTTCATTATAGAGAGTGGTTTGTATGTTTATATCCATCTTCTCCATCAGGTTCCCCCTTTTTCTTCCTATTTATTTAGGCACAGAGACACTGCAAATATGGATGGACATAACAGTCTAAAAATGTGTGAACACTGTCAGATTATTGCTCTGTGAGAATTGGCAAATGTGTTTATTATTGTAGGGGTTATCCTAATGCTCTTTCTGATGCATCCCTATCCACTTGTTGACTGACAGAGGTATTTCACTGTGTACAAACTTCACTGGAAACATGTTAGAAGGCAGGTGGTGAAGACACACCTGCTCTTAAAAACAGCAGAAGTTCCAGAGCTAAGAACCCGAAGTGTAATAGTAAATACTGCTGATAAGAGGAAGAATGAGTGTTTGTGAGGCCTCTAGCACATGCTGTATTTACTTATTGGCTTTACCAAAAATGTGTACTTTGTCAAGTGAAATTTAGGTTGTGGTTACCTGAATGGCCACGTGAGCTATTAAGTACATTCAGCCCCTGTGTAGTCTCAATCAGTGTCTAAAATGATTGGTATGGGATCTTAGATAAATTGACTCACCATACCATAGTTAGAGTCTAGTTAATTTTTCATTTTGGGCAGGTTTGAGGGGGAAACCAGCTAACCAAATTACGATCTAGCAGATTTCAAAAACATTGGATGTGCTGGTTTGATTTTTGTCAGCTTGACACAAATCTAGACATGCTTGGGAAGAGGCACTCTCAACTGAGGAAGTGCTTCTATCAGGTATACATGTCTGTGGAGCATTTTCTTGATTGCTTATTGATGTAGGAGGGCCCAGCCCTCCATGGACAGTGTCTTTCTGGGCAGGTGGGCCAGGTTATATAGAAATCAAGACAATGAGCAGCAAGAAACCTTCCAGCTCCTGCTTTGGGTTCCCAAGGTGGCTTTTCCCCATGATGAACAGTAACCTATAAGCCAAATAAAGTCTCTCTCAATCTGTTTTTGGTCAGTGGTTTGTTTTTTTTTTTTTTTTTTTTTTTTTTTTTTTTTTTTTTTTTTTTATCACAGCAACAGAAAAGCAGACTAGAATCATGGAAAGAGTGATCATGGCTGTCGGTGGAAAGTATTTCCAAAGGGCAGATGGATAAATCCATGGCCTATATCTAGTTGTTAGGGCCCTGAATCTCAACCTTGCTTGCTTAGTCCCCATTGGCATTTGCTGTCTGTGGGTATAATCTGCCAGGATTTCCAGACCTTCTACTGGTGTCATAGCCCATGTATGCTAGATCCAGGGTCATTTTTTCTGGGGTGGGGGCACTGTAAAATTGTCTACTCAGAATCAAAACTTTGTGAGTTATCTTCGTCCATGTCTAAAAAATTAATTTTGGTGTTAGTTCATGGAATGAAGGTTGCATTTATGAATGGGAGGCTCTTTGCTTCTTTCATCAGTAAGGGATGCCTACTTCTAAGATGCTTATGCCTAAAAAGGTAATTTCTACTGAAATGCTGTGGGGTTGGAAGCCAGAGAGAATATATGCTGTATTATATGCAAATACTGATTCCAGGATGTTGGTTTTGGTTGAGCATCACTTCAGGATCTTTGGTTTCTTGAACCAACTCCATTCTGAAGAGCACTCTAACATCTCTAAATGCTTTAGTAAAGCTGCCATACACAGTGTTTTATGAAGCATGACTTTATGGCCAAGCTTACTTATTTAGAAATGTTGGAACTTGCTTTAAAAAAGTAATTAAATGTATCATTTTATTTTAAGGAAATCACCATTTTGTTCCATCAAAATTCACAAGAGAAATCGTTCGAAGACTTCCATGTGTGAAAAAGTTGTGTTTTTCCAGGAGCTAAAATTTGCTGTTTAAAAAGGATTTAAAAACCTATAAATATGTCCTCAAAGGGACAGCATTGTTTGAGTTCAGATATTAATGTTTGTCTGAGAACCCAAAGGAGAGATAGTCTAAGAAATGTGATATGCTGGGACTGTTGTAGGCATTTATTTTATGCCAGGGAGAAAGTTCTTCCTTTCCTTTATAAGGTCCCTACTGTGAGCCCCATGTTCTGAGTTGAGTGTGGGGAAGAGTATTTACAACAGGCTTCTCCTTTGTTGTATGACAAGTCTTTTCCTGGGGAGACAACACACACGATTATTCACTCCAGATAGAGAACCCATGACAAACCAAATTAAGGATGCCACCAAAGTCCACCTTGATGAACCAATGAGTTAGTTTTATTGGGGATACTTAGAGGAATATGGGTGGGGAGTTACTTACAGGAAAAGAAATGCCTCAAAAACAGCTGCACCACCAAAGCCTACCCCATCATGGGTGACAGCTCACAAAGTCAGGAATCTAGAAAACACTGCACACCTACAGGCAGCTCGACAGGTTGAGTTTCCAAGTGACTCAGTTGATCTTAACCTCTTCCAGTCAGTTTGGCTGATTTCTGGTTCATTTGTTTACTCAGGAGGGAGGGAGGGACCTAGTTATTCTGGTCAGTTTCAGGGACTTCCTGAAGCTATTTGAGTTGTTTACCTTCTGGCTTAAGGAACTTCCCTGTGGGATGTTTCAGTCTGGTAATAAACCCCTACATAATACCCTTCATTGTGGAGCTGATAGGGTGTTGTAAAAAAATTAAAATGCTATAGCCAAGTTTGAAAGTGTGGCCATGCAATAAAAAGAGGGACAGGACACATGAACTAAGGGTTATCCAGCGCAAATTAAGAGTATTCAGCAGAGAGTGAAGAGCATTTTCAAGTGCTGGAGGCATGGACAGCAGAGCTGGAAGACGGAAGGCTGAGTGTGGTTGAGCTAGCAAGCCAGAGAACACAAGAGCAGTGTCCAGGTCAGGTTAGGAACTGCTGCGTGCCAGGTCATGATGGGGAGTGACTTTGGACCTTCCTGGCTTCTAAAGCCTGAATCACTTCTTTCACTCAACCAGTTTTCTATCAGCACTTGGTGATTTCAAAATCCACATAAATGAGCTTCAGTGCCTTGAATGGTTTCACTGTTATTACTGACCCCACCTAATTTACTACATGTCACGTGCATTCTCCAGACTTTGCCATCCCTTGCAAACTCAATATGAAGAATTCCACACCTTGACTAGCTCTCCTTTCAACCATGCTAATCCTGTCCCTCTGTAGCTTCAGGAATGGTTACCCATGAGTCTTGGCATCTCTCTCTTAGGGCGTTTGATCTCATTCTTTGTGATCTTCCTTCTTTGACTCCTTCTTAGTGAATGGCACCTGTGTCCTTTCCTGAGTTTTCTCCAGCAGGTCGCTTCACTGGACATATTTTGCTCTCTGTGCTTGTGTCCAATGTTGACGTAAGTCAGTTTTATTTATCTCCTGCTCTATCGGGAAGTGCCTGACCCCAGAGTACCCATAAGGCAGGTGGGAGGCTCTGAATGTTGCTTAACCAGGGAGAAGGAGACAAGATTTTTCAAGGAAGTTACTCAGGGTCACTAGGCTGTCCTTACCTCACTGGCCTACCACAGTTTCCAATTCATTCTAAAAGCAGATAAATCCTTCTAGCTTCTGTCTTTTCTCAGAAGCCATTTCTTGATTTTAACTTATTTCTGTAGAGACTAGATATTATATAATTCCCTTGTCTTAGTAGCTAGATAGATTTTTGTCAGCTGGTAGGTCCATGAGAATGAATCATTCCCTCATGGACTTTGGACCCTACCTCCTGTTCCTCTGGTAACATTAGAAAGGAAAGCTCCTCCTTAGAATTTAAATTTGCCTTACAAAAAAGTGGAGGTAACTGGGGTCTATTGAGGCCCACTAAGACAAAGCTTCTTCGTCCTGGTCTAAAGAACAATCTTGCCCTGGGGAGACTTAGCCTTCTAAATTATTTTCAGTAGTTCATCCTTCACTCACTCCCATCTTGTTGGAAATCTGATTCATCTGGAGACTTGCTGGGGCGAGGGGTGGACTAATTAGCCTCTTAGTGAAACAGTCTATCTTACCCATAGGCCCCTTCCCCATTGCCTGTTCACTTCTCTGAATTACTCAGAAAACCATAGCTTTTCATTTTCTTTCTATTTTGGATACTGGCCAAAGCCTAAGCATGCGTTCCCTGGCATTCTGAGTTTTCCCATTCTTTCTCCAAAGTTCCCCTCCATCTCCCACTGTGCAGCTCCCTGCTGACCTAGGAATGCTTGCTTTCCTCTCTTCCTCTTCTCATCACACCTCTCCAGGCAGCTGCTGAGATAGATGTTCAGCCTTCCTGCCCTGGTGCTTTTCTCTCAGATTCCACCAAACTTGTCCTTCTGGGTTGCAGAGATAGCTCAGTAGTTAAAAGCACTGACTGCTCTTCTAGAGATTCTGAGTTCAATTCCCAGCAACCACATGGTGGTTCACAACCATCCAGTAATGAGATCTGGTGTCCTCTTCTGGCCCTCAGGCATACAGTAAATATATATATATATATATATATATATATATATATATATATCCTTGAGCTTTCTTCTTCTGAGTCTCCATTAAGACTCTTTCATTAACAGATCAGAACCTTGTAGTGAGATATCCACCCGTGCATCACAGTTTCCCTGGTAACACTGGTTCTTTTTTTTTTTTTTTTTTTTTTTTTATGGCCTTCTTTTTCTTTGTTTATCTTTCCTCTTACAAAAGGAAGTCATGGGAAACTCCATGTGTTCCCCTGGCTGTTTAGGAGGGAGGGTGGTCTCTTTGGTTGTGCCTGTTGTTATCATTGATAAAGCAGAAGCAGATGGCCAGCAAGCAAGCTGTTTCTTCAGAAGAGGAAGCATACAGACAGTAAAGTGTGGGGAGCTAGCTGGGCTCGTAAATGGGAGAGGCTTAGGATAGCTCAAGCATATTTTTACATTAATTTGTGTGTGTGTACACATGTGTGCATATGTGTGGATGTGGGTGCATGACATCAGAGGCATGGCCAGAGAACTTGGGTGAGTCAGTTTTCTTTTTCTGCCACATGGATCCCAGGGATCATGCCCAGGCCAGTAGGCTTGGTGACAAGTGCCTTTACTCCCTGGGCCATCATTCAGGGTTGGGGTGACAGTTTTTTGTTTTGTTTTTGTTTGTTTTCCAACTTGGAGATGTTGAAGAACAGAGAACATTTTGTTAGGATTCTTTGATTAGCCCCCAGCTACCAGACTCGGGCATATGCACACTTTTGTTTTGAGTTGTGGGGCATAGCTATTGTTACTGGGGTGTTCCCAGCCAAGAAAGCAATGCCAGTGGGTTGGTAAAGGGCGCAGAGAACCATCCGCTTTATGCATATTAGTAACCATTTATATAGTGGAAGGAATCAAAGCAACCTCTTACGATGTAGTGCGAGAGGGGCCTTGGAGGGTTTGTAACCAAGGAGCCGCGGTGGGTGACATACAGACACTCCGTGCAGACAGTGCTCATGTGGAGAGTTTTTTTTGGGGGGGGGAGCAAAAGGGAGAGAGGGGTTAGAGAGAGGGAGTGCAGAGCAGCCTCATGGGAAAAGAGAGATAGAGGTACAGAGAGCGAGAGAGACAGAGAGGTAGGCAGGAGAAAAGAAGAGAGGAAGAGCAGGTGGGCGGGGTTCTGCCTTTTTAACAGGGAGTAGCTGTAGTGATGAAGCTGAAGGCATTGTAAAGGCTCTGAGCAGATCAGAGTACTGCCTGAGTATTGGCAAGTGCCTGTGTGTACTGATGACACATTCTGCCAGGTCTCCAAGTGGGGGGCCAGTTGTGCCTGAATGCTAACACAAGCTCTGAATTGTCCTAGATGTCTAGGGTTGGAGAAATTTCCAGAATGTAGCACAAGGCTGGGGAATTTAGGCAGCTCATGGCAATATCTCTGAATCGAGGGGACAAAGAGAAAGAGAGGAATGCAGAGGGTGTGAAGGGGGCTCAGATCCGTGGGTGAAGTGCTTGAACACAGGATATGGTCAGAAATTTTCAGTGTGAATACCTGGGCTGAGTATCAAACTCCTCGTGATAAGAAAAGCATGTGGAAGAGAAAATTGATTACCAGGGGCTGTAATCTAGGGAATTAGCATTGTCTTTTTATGGAGGGATGCCTGTTTTTGCACAGTTTGGCTGTGCCAAATGCTGGCTTGCTGCAAGGTGAACCTATGGCTAGCATGTGGAGAGCTGATCTCACTAAGTGGGTCAAGTTGGTTGATAGTGTTGTTCAGCTCTTAATCTGGAATTTTCTGTCCACTTGTTACATGAATTTTTAGAGAACAGTTAGACTTTCCACCAGCAGCTATGACTTTACCTATTTTTTCCCGTTATTAGATAAAAGCATATTATGTACTTTTAGTGACCCCACTGCACAATTTTGTTTTTGTTATGAATGCCCTTTACCATGGTAAATAATTATTGCATTGAATCCCACTTTCTTGACATTAATGTAGCCATTCAGCTTTATTTTGATTTATCTTGAAGTAGCATGTCTTTTTCTGTCTTCTGTAGTAAATTTGCATTTTGGTGTTAAAATTGATTTCTTATGAGAGGTTTTATAATTGGGTCTTATTTTTCACCCGCTTTGCTACTGACTGCCTTCTAAATGAGATTTTTAGACTATTTTCATTAAGTGCCACCAATTCTATTCTCAAGCCTTCTGTCTTTTTTCTCATCTCATTATTTCTTGTCATTTTCTTCTCAAGACAGGATTTCTCTGTGTAGCCCTGTTTGGCCTGGAACTCGCTCTGTAGACTGTGCTGGCCTCAAACTCAGAGCTCTGTCTGCTTCTGAGCGCTGGGATTAAAGGTGTGTGCCACCACTGCCCGGCTGCTTTTGTCTGTTCTTCTAAGTTAATTTTTATGATTCCACTTAATCTGCTTTGTTGCCTATTAGCTTTGTCTACATGACTAATTATTTAAGTGGCTTTTACATTTTGGCTTGTCTTAGAGTCGAAGTGACCCTGTATCACTTTGTGTGTTGTGTAACATTTCAGTTATTCACTTCCAGCTTCCCCAAGCTAGGTTGAAAATGCCCCATACTTTAGTCTATGTCACACCCTGTAAATACATGATTCTTACTTTTGCTTTAATCGGCCAATAAATAATTAGCTTTGAAGTTAAGCTTCATTCCTTTTATTTTTCCTGCATCCAAAGCCTTTCTTAGCATTTTTATAATGAGGTCTGAAGTTGATTCTTTAAGTTTAGGTGTGCCTGGAAAAGGTCTTTCTTTCATATTTGTTTTTAAGGATATTTTCACTGTGGTTGGTATCTTAGGGCTGTGGCCTTTCTTTATTGTTAGTGTCGCTGTGGCCTCTTGATGATGCTACCTTGATGGTTAATCTGCTTTCTCATCTTTGCTTCTTCTGATACAGCCTGTCTTTAAGCTGGATTTGATGTCCTGCTTTCAGACACCTGTCCAGTATTCCCACATCCATGCTCACATTTTGCTCTTATATTTAAATACAGGCCTGAAGTCATAGGTGATTTGCCTCTGGCCCCCTTGAAAGACACTTTTCAGACTGTCCAGTGCAACTGCAGTGTTCGGGAATGTGACTGTCATGTGCCAGTACCAAGAGACAAACTCAACCACTCTCTTCTGATGTATTTGGAAATGACATCTGCTGGTGTGACTTTTCAGTCACCTCTAATGTCAGTGCAGCCAATGCTTGTCGGTAAGTTGCATTTCAGAATGACAACGGAACTGAGAAATTATTCATGAGAGGGGGTTGAAAGGTTGCTTATGTGTTAAAGATTTTCACTTACATTTACATCACGTTGATCAATACTGAAAACCGTGGTAAATGTTACTAGTTATTACAGGCAGCTTCACCAATGTGTTCCCAGTAGTAAATGTCTCTAATCTTAGCATTGAAGTGGTCCTGTGAAACAGCTGTGGCCTCTTTAAGACTTGGATTTAGTGAACAGATGTGTATTCTTTGACTATCACCTGTCTACATCTCAGTTAACTATTTCTGAAAATTATTTAAAAACATTTTTACCTGAATTTATCCTTCCAAGAAGTATATCTTAGTGGATATGTGTGTGGGGATTATTATAATTATAGAGATTGGAGACATAGTCAGGAAGGGGGGGGTGTTTTACTCACACAGCTGCCGGTAATAATAGTGAGCAGAGTCATCAATGGGCCAATAGGGGGCCAAGCCTGAGTACAAGACAGCTGAAGGGTAGTGGTCTTGATCTGGGCAGACTTTGTGACTGCCGAGGAAGAGCTGACCAGTGTGGGCTGGTTAGGAGGGTGGGGCTGGGTGGAAGGAAGGTCTCCCCAACTCTTCTGAAGATGTTTTTCTGGCAGAGTGGGTGAATGGTAGTAAGTGCTGAGCTGGGTGTAGGAGAGCCAGGGGTAAATGTTTTTGGTATGTTTGAAAATGAATGTATACTGGTAGAAGATAGGAAATGTGAAACATCTTGCAGCTGTATATAATTTCACTATTCTTTGTTTTTGTTTTTTTAATTTTTGTGTTGTTTTTGGTCCTGGGAGCACAGTAAAATTCACATTTTTTTTTTAGTGTTAAGTTATATCTGCTTACAATAAGTTAAACTTGCAATAACTCACAAAAAACAGGTGTCATTAGGGTTGAATAAATGAAAAACAACAACAATAAATGAAAACAAACAAACAAACAAACCCCCCCCCAAAACACCTAAACCAAAACCAAAACCAAAAACCCAACCCCAAAGCAAAAAGCAAAACTCTCTCAAAATTCCTGAACGGATGGGATGTGTGAGAGCTAAGCCAGTTTTGATTGGAAATGTAATTCAAACCAGTATATTTCTTATTGTAAAGATGTGCAGAGGGGAAATGTGTGTATAGATTACCATTTATACACACTTCTGATTTGCAATACATTCTATTTGCTAATTTTAACAACTCAAGAATATAAATATGCAGACTGGCTCAGCATTTGAAAGCGCTTGTTTTTGCAGAGGTCTCAGGTTTGTTCCCTGCACCCACATGGCAGCTCACAACTGCCTGTAACTCCAGCCCCTGGGGGCCCAATGTGCCTTTTTATTTCCTAGGGTACTTGAATGCCTGTGCATGTTCAAACACACACACACACACACACACACACACACACACAAACACACACGGACGCACACACGCACACAAATAAAATAAATTTTATAAAATAATCAAAGTGTGAATTTGTGATAAGCCTCTTGAACTTCAGAAGTTAAACATTTTCAATATTCTACTACAATGTGATTTTTAAAATAACTTTATTTATTTATTGTGTACACAGTATTCTGCCTCCACTTTTGCTTGCAGGCCAGAAGAGGGCACTCAATCTCATTACAGATGATTGTGAGCCACCATCTGGTTGCTGGGAATTGAACTCAGGACCTCTGGGAGAGCAGCCAGTGCTCTTAACCTCTGGGCCATCTCTCTAGCCCTACAAATGTGATTTTTTTTAAATGGCTGCTTGAATTTCCTTTATGATATGAACCATAATCTATTAAAGTAATCTTTACCTGTAAGATATTTAAATTGTTTCTGCACATATCTAATTGGTTTTCTTGTGGTTGGCATAATCAAGTACTTACATGTGCACATATACATACAAATGTCAATATGCACACATACATTTGAACTAAGAAATCATTTAACTGGTTAAGATCCCCATTAAGCTAAGAGTCCCCACTCCTATGGCTAGAGACAGCCAGGCCTTACAATGGCACGTTTATTGCATGGGAGTGTTAGCTCTGACTTCAGTAGGTATGTTTGGGTTGTTATCTTATGTGAATAAATATGCTGACTTTTGCCAGGTCTGTGCATTATACTGCTGTTGTCCTCATGAAACAAGTACAGTGACTGCAACTAGGCAGAGACTCCAAGTATGTTTGAAAATTACTAGGAAAGGTGAAATGAGGCAGACTTTTTAATAGAAGGAAATCACATTTATCAAAACAATCCCACTTACTGGTTTATAGGTTTTCCCACACAGGGGAAAGAAACGAAGACAGCGGTTTGCTGTGGTAAGTATGGTAGAAGGGAAGGACCCACCATGCATATCTGCTTCAACTTTGCAATTAGTCCTCAGATGATTTAACTTTTTAAGTATTTAAAAGGCAAGCTATCCTGGCAGTTCATCTCAACTTCATTTTATTTTGATATGACTGCTGTGAAAATTGCTCGAGTTAAAAGTCTCTTTTTATTCTTTCCCCTTCAGTGAAGCCTGATCCACCCTTAGGTTTGCATATGGAAATCACAGACGATGGTAATTTAAAGATTTCTTGGGACAGCCCAACGGTGGCACTGTTTCCACTTCAATATCAAGTCAAATATTCAGAGAATTCTACAGTTATAAGGGAGGTAAGTATATTTTGGTAAAGAAGGTGAAACTTTGAGAAGCAATCAGAGTCCTAAGTCTCTTAGAGATTGTCCTTGCTTGCAAATATGGCTGTGGTTCCTAGAGAGGCTTGGACTATTTTGAGTATTACTTACTGAGATAACTTCTACACAGCACAGGAAGTCTAGTCATGAAATTCTAACATAACCATTTTCATCTGCTGAGGACTCACATTGCTTTCTTACTTGTTCGCTGCTCAGTGTGTTTACGCACAACATGTGCATTTGTGTTGTGAGGTCCATCAGCATTCTCTTCCGATTATGCTAAGGTGTTTTCTGAGTGCCTGTTTGTTGCCAGGAGCTATTCTAGGTGCAGAAAGAAACCTTGAGATCAAAGAGGATGGGATAAGATTGCCATAGCAAGTGGAGGTTGAGGCATGCCTCACTGGGAGGGTGATAACTGAGCAAGGATTTGGAGGAGATGGCTCTGTCAGTATCTGGGGACCTGGGTGCCATGTAGGTGGAACAGCAGTGCAGGAGGCCAGTGTGGCTGATGCTGAGAGTGAAAATAACTGTGACAGTAGATGGTTTCAGAGAGAGGAGTGGGTCGGGAGGAGGAGGTCATGAATGGCCTGTGGGGTCACACGAAAGTTTTCATAGCACATAGTGAACCTAAGTGTTGCGTCATTCCAAGGTAGAAAGTGATCCTTTTAGAACTGTTACTTTTCTTCGGTCTTATTTTTGCAGAGAGTAGTTTGGGAACCTTCACATCAGGTATGTAGATGCAGGGTTAAGGCTGCCATGAGATATTTCCTTATTAGCAAGTCGGAAATCACAGGAGTATAAAAGTGAAGGTCCTGATATTGCCCTAGGCATGCCTTAGGCTTTGCATGATTTTTAACCTATGACCCCTTCCTTCCTCTTGCAGTCTTGAAGAGAGCAGGGAGTTCATCTGAAGCACATTATTGGAAAACCGAATGTGCCGCACAGGCCGGTCCTAACTAGAGTTTGTTTTCTACAGAGTTTGGCTTCAGATGCCTTCCCTCCCCTCTGGTATATAAGCAGTGTGGTGACTTATTCCCTGTAGTTCAGGGTCAGGATGTAGCCACCAGAGTCAGGATGTCAATATCATTCATGCCTTTCTTCTTGTGCAGCTTTCCTCTCTAGGATCCTTAGAGCCCCCTCTACACCTCTGTATGTTGTTTTCTACCAGATGTGCAATGGGTGGCGAAGTGGCTACAAAATTCCCAGTAACTCTGGCACCGTTTCTCAAAAGTCCTAAAGACCATATTGGCATTAGGATTCAGTTAATGCTCATTCATTGTCACAATTGTTTGATCTACAGGCTCTTTAATTTTTTTTTATTGACAGACGCATTTGTCTTTCATCTGGTCATTAATTACTGTTTTACTTCTGTGGCCAGGCAGTTCGTCTGTAAGACTATATACTTTGAGATTTGCCGAGGCTTACTTATCAATTTTGGCAAATGTTCCTCACCAACCCGATGCTCTGATGTTTTAACATCACCTTTCTCAGGCTACTGAAGCTGTCTCGGCTCCATCCCTGCTGCTACACAGCCTGCTTCCTGGGTCTTCGTATGAGGTTCAGGTGAGAACCAAGAGACTGGACGGCTCAGGAGTCTGGAGTGACTGGAGTTTGCCTCAAGTCTTTACCACACAAGGTAGGCCTTGTAGAAGTTTCTCTGGAAACATTCTCCCACATCTTGGCTTCCTTCTCATTGGTGTGTCACAAGCATCTTCAATTTTTATTTCCTTCAACAAGGGGGGGGGAATAATAATATTAACATTGTGTTTAAAGTTCTTTTTGGAGACAAGGTCTGTGTATATAGCCTAGGCTGATCTTAATTGCTGGGATTATAGACATGCATGCCTATCTATGCCCTGCTACATTTTACTCAGATCTTGAGCAGGCTATTTGGTTAATGAAAATTGCATCCAAATTCTTATGTATTTTCTTCCAAAACGCTCTCTTATGGAGGTTTTTTTTTTTTTTTTAATATGAAAAAGAGAAATATTTAAACTGGTCATGGTGACCCATGCCTGTGAATTCCAGGATTCTGGAGCATGAGGCAGGAGGATTATGAGTTTGAGGCCAGCCTTGACTATATAGAAAAACACTCCAAAAGCATAAAATTGTTAATGTGAAATCTCCACTTAAAAAACCTAGCATGTATACCACTTGTGTTGTTAATTCTTTAATTGATGTTTAGAATCCAAGTGTATTCATTTGAGTTAAACATATTAAATGCTTACTTTTAGAGGTGTGTATATGTATACACGTAAATGTGTGTGCGTGTGCACACCTGTGTGTGTGTGTGTGTGCACCTGTATGTGTGTGGGGGGGCGGGGGGAGTACTTACAGAGACCAGAGGTCGACTCTGGCTATCTTCTTCTACCTTCACCTTATTACTTGAGACAGGGTCTCTTCCTGAGCCTGGGGCTTGCTGCTTCTGCTGTGCTAGCTGGCTGGCCAATCCCCTACGAACCTCTTGTGTCTGCTTTCCAGTACTGAGATCACAGGCCCTGCTTACTGTGCTCAGCTTTTGCTATGGTGCTGGGGATCTAAACTCAGGATCTCAGGCTCCTGCAGCAAGCGCTTCACTTACCGGATCATCTCACTAGCCTGCTTTTGGAGTTTTCAGAGTCAAGTCTTCATATCTTCAGAATTTTGTTGTTGTTGCTCTGTGTATTTTTATTAGCTACTATTAATACAGGGAGAGGGGACAAAGAACTCACAGGCGACACAATTTCGTGAGATGCGTTACAGGGGAAAGAGAGTCTTGGTGCATGCATTCTCAGGGAGGGTGGACCTCTCATTCCTGGTAGAAGGCATTCATTCTGGAAGAGAGGCATGCATATCAGTGTTCCTTGAGCAGGGGGCAGGTCAGTCAGTGGTCCAAGAGTGATCTCAAACCAGCTAGAGGAGCTACAGTTCTTAGAGCTGGGGCTGCAGGAGTGCCCTGTGCTGGAGGGTATTGGGGTTCCAGCAATGCTGGCAGGAGCAGCAACAGCAGCAGCTGCTACAGTGTCTCTTACTTGTGCAGCATCACCTGCTGGAATGGGCTCCAGCCACTTGGACAGGACCACCAGCAAGGGTCTGGGGATCAGGAGCACCAGGTGCCCTCCAAACCCTAGGAGCTCTTGTAGTGCTACCAAATAGCATTTGAGCAATGCTAATATTTTGAGAGGCTGGCCCCTCCACATTAGTGGATACCATATTTCCCCTATGTATTGACCACAGACCCTAAAACTGTTTGTAGGTTTTTTTCCCTTTCTTCCCTCTACTCTGGCTATTTTGTATTCTTTGGTTTGAACCTTTGATTCACTATAACTCAGAGGATCAAGTCTATATTTATGTCAAAATCCTTCAAGCTGTCAGTAAAGATGCAGCCATTTTGCAGGATGCATCTCATTCTGTAGTCTGTGCTGCAATATCTTGCTATTGTTTCCTGTAGACTTGATTGCTGTTTCACAGTATATGGTGTCCACAATAAAAAATGGGTTTTATCCCTACATCAGGTTTTCCTACCAATAATGCAAGCTTGGTAGAAACTTTTCAAACTGTGGGTGGGTCCTGTTCTGTTCTTGGAGTCATCTGCCTTCATGCTCATAACTGCTCCAACAACCCATTGGTATCAGCTAAGAATGCCTGGCACAGCTCTGCCTGAAAATCCACCCCCGAGCTTCTTACTACCGAGGTCACTGTGGGCACAGCTGACACTCTTGGGAGCTCACTGAGGCTGTTCTACACTTGACCCAGACTTCCACCTCTGGCACATTCGATGCAGCACTCCTTTACAGGTGTGAGCGATCTCCTGGGCACTTCATCTGGCTGCAGTGACTCACAGAGCTGTCTGGCATCCAGCCACCTCCCAAGGTTATTTTTAACATCAGAGAAACTGCGGCTCACTCACAGGTTCCTCAGGGAGGTGAGATGCAGTATCTTTCAGAGCCCTGAGAACCTTGTTCCGTTTCCAACCCTGTCACCGTTGAGTTGTGACTTTAGGAAGACACTCAGTTGTCCCTTGGTAGTCCGCTTGCTCAGTGTTACTGGGGTTGGTTGTGATAACACAGAAATAGCAATGTAAAATACTGAGCACAGTCCATCTATATCATCCAACAGATTCCCTTATTGACTGCTTAGTATGGAAGAAGTGTTAATTAGAAAGCAAGTTGCATCAGTGTCTTAGAAGCATCAATTTTGGAATCTGCCAGTTTATACAAGGGTCATCATTACGATTTCTTTGGAGAGGTCCTCAACCTTTCTGTGCCTCAGTTTCCTTGTCTGTAACCTCAGGATGTTTTTATATGGATGGTTTTTGTATGGTGAAATAACACAATGATGCCCATATTATAGCATCCAACTCTTAACATTCAGTGAATGTAAGATACTATTTTAGTTTATGAATTCACAGCCTCTGTGCTCGGATTCTCAAAAATCTAAAGAGATAGGAAGATCGACACTAATTGTTTGGCACAAAGCAAGATCGCATGAGAGAGCTAAAGCAAGTGTTAAATAATTAGTTCAGCCTGGGAGACTCAGGGGCCTGGCATGAGGAGATTTAGGAGGTGATTTTATATCTTTATTCCTCAGATAGCATTCTACTGTCCCCTGTGTGTAATCAGGTTCTGATAATTCAGCTTTTGAATTTTTTGGTTGGTTCCTAAGGGAAACTGAATCTTCTGTTATCAGGTCTCACTGACTAGCTGTGTCTTATGAATCACATCGGGGGAATGAAAACCAGTGTCCCAGGAGGTGCTGTGGGGTCATGTCGGGAGGGAAGAGGAGAGCTGTGCAGAGGAACTAGAAGGCCCCCATGCCTACCTACACTGAAAGCCTGTCTTTATTAACCACTGGGCAATGCACTTAGTTTGCATGGAAAGATATTTCTTTATTTTCTTATTTTACTTCATAATTAAAATTTAAAACTTCCCCTTCAAGGAAACGATGCAGAGCTATAAGAATCAATGTTGGTTTTCCAAGTTTGCTAGGAATCAAGGCTGAATATAAATGTTCTTTTTAGAAACTCTGTATAATGTACTGGTTTGTTGTATTTTGCCAAACATTTGGTCTCATTCAGTTTAGGTCTTTAGATGGACATGCTTTTAGTTCTAGTTTTCTTTACAATGTATGTCAATATCTGTAAGTTTATATTTGCTTGGTTTTTCAAATGCCATCTCATATGCATTCTTATGTGAGATAGTCATGTGGGGGTCCCTATAGGTGTCATACAGAGAAGCAGATTGCACAAAGAGGTAAGAATGAAAACCCGCCAGCACTCAGGAGGCAGAGTCAGGTGGATCTCTGTGAGTTTGAGGCCAGCCTGGTCTATAGAGCTAGTTCCAGGACAGGCGCCAAAGCAATATAGAAAAGCCCTGTCTCAAAAAACCAAAAAAAAAAAAAAAAAAAAAAAAAAAAAAAATTAAATAAATAAATAAATAATGTACAGACCGACTTTGTCAATCTGGATCAGCATGTTTAAAACACAGTACAGTTTGGGAAAAGGTTTCCAGGCAAAATTCATTCAAATTCCAAGTGCACAATAAAGCTTAAGATGTGACTCCATAGAGCTGCTACAAAGTACATGTTACCCTAAGTGTAGGTTCTATAGTTAGAAGATCTAGAATCTAGTGTGATCTCTGACCAGTTGTATAGAGATCAGCAGGCCATTAAGTACCCAGACATCTCCCTGAAGGATGGATAGCGGTCTAGGGAGGGAAGAGTCTGGGATAATCATTCTGGAGGATTAGGGTGAGGTCTGTGCTTTCAGATAACAAAATGGTTACCAGGTTGTTAGGACCCTCCATTCTCAGCCTTCTGGGTGGAATGCAGGTGTTTGGTTTGCATCTCCTTCATTGAGGAGATACCTGTGTGATCAACTATCCTGGTTCTCTTAGTGCTTCTCTGTGAGGACAAGGACTTCTGTGCCCCCAACATCGTCAGACGTTATAAAGTGTGCACACAAATGTGTGTGCGCGTGCGTGCGCGCGCACACACACACACACACCACCTTATCAATTAGCTTCTGCAGTAGTCAGTCATATGAATATTAACAGCTAGACTTTTATTTGTCACTGAGGTACATTTCTAGACTTCAGACATCCTGAACAGAAAATTATGGGGAAAAAAAATGAGTAAATAGCTACTTTCTAGTCAAAACTCCCTCCAAAACTTAATTTTAAAAGATGAAAATTTTATTTTGGCTCATAGTTGAGGTTCTACTCAACCTTGTTGCTTTGAGCCTGTGATAACACAGTACATCAGCAGTGGGAGTCTTCAGGAGAGGTCTGTTCAACTCACTGCTGACAGAAAGCAAAGAGGGGTGAAGAAGGAGACTGTGTCCCAATGTTCCTATCAAGGGCTCACTCTAAATGACCTGGATCCTTCCACTACACTGTTCCTAATGAAGGTTTTAGAGATGCCAATGACAGCACAGGCTGGTGTCTCAGCCTTTAGCTTATGGGCTTTTGGAGTCATTTAAAGACTCAACCAAAATGCTCCCTGATGATCTCAGATGGCTTAGCTGCCTCTGAGGGCTAGTAGGTAAAGATTAAGAAAAAGAAACTTGGGGCTGGGGAGATGGCTCAGAAGTTAAGAGCAATGGTTCAATTCCTTGCACCCACATGGCAGCTCACAACTGTCTATAACTTCAGCTCCAGGGGATCTGGCGCTCAGACATACATGCAAGCAAAACACCAATGCACATGAAAATAAAAATAAATATTTTTTTAAAAAGAAACTCACTATGCAAGAAACAAACTAAGATACTTGAAGTGGGAACAAAAACTAGTCCACTTAAGTAACTACCCCAAATATTTCTCTTTACAATATCATCCACTGTGCTGACATAATGGCTGGTGATGTGTGCTGAATGACAAATAATCTACACAACCAGGCTCCATGTTTTCCCTTTAAAGAAAATTCAGCACATCTGCTCGTAGAATGAAAAAGTTCATTTTCTGGGGCTGGGATAAACACATTGTGAAAGAATTTTATCTAAAAATGTTTTGATTTGTGACCTATATTCTTTTCAGTAATTGATAACATTAATATTATCACTAGAATATTTCCCTTTTAATAAAATTCATTAATGTTGATATTGTGAAGTTATCAGTGGGTTTTTTTTTTTGCCATATAAAGAAAGTCATAGATGTCTTATTCCTCAAACTAAATTTTGCATAGTACTCATTACGATCGTATTTGTGCTCTTTTGAAGATTAAGTATTCAGTATTTATTTCATGTTTCATCAATTTTAGCATAATTTTATAGATTTTCACTTTTTATCTTTGTGTGAAAGCCTAGACTTAAGCATTTAACCAGTCACACGCCATATACATTTTAGCTTTATTTCTTAATTTGGTCTCACAGGTACATTTGCTATTGAACTAAAATTCCTTGAAGATTTAAAAGTAATCTGTAAATGAAGAGCCTGAATTTATGAGAGTTACTGTGTACCTTCCTAGGAAATAAGAGTAACTCTGAGGTGTTGAGACTGTTCAGTGGTGGGGGCCACGGAACACACCGAGTGTGTGACAGGCACAGGTCAACAGTGACTTCTGTTCACGGGAAGACTGCGTGTCCCCAAGGCTGGGATTACACTGAATCATGCTCATAGTCTAATGCTTCTTCCCAGTGCTGTCCTGTTTCCATTTACCATAGATACACTCAGTGCAAATGTCCATTGTGGGGACTACATACAAAACCATTGCAGTAAATTTAGCAAACTATTTTACCAATTTCTTTACCTGTTTATTAGAAACTTTCACAAGTATGGAAAAAACAATAGCAACAACCCCCTTTCTGTCAAGATTTTGTATCATAGTGATCAGTGCTGCGGTGCACATGTTGAGATCACAGAACAACCTGTAGGAGTCAGTTCTGTTATTCCATAGTGTCAATCTTGGGGATTGAACTCAGGTCATCAGACTTTGTGGCAAGTACTTTTACCTGCTAAGCCAATTTACTGGTCCTTGTTTCTTTAACATTTATTTATTTACTTATTTTTGTATGTTCCCACATATGTGCATTCAATTTTAATAGTCTGGTTTAAAAAATCAATCATTGTGGAAATAAATGATGCCCCATTTAGTCAATTTTGCCTATCACTTGGAAAATGGTAGTTGCTAAAGCACAGTTGTAATGAATAAGCCCCATGTGTAGAAGCTTGTCATGGCGTCCTTGGAGGCTCTGCTCATTTGAGAGCAGGGCTTACTGGGGCTCTAAAGGGCTGTCCACAGCATTAGCCAGTTTCTCAGTGCACTTACTTGATGCTGGCAGGGTAGCTGGGGATGTGGGAATCTCTTTGCTGTGGCACAGACCACTCACATGATAGTTTCTGTTTCCAAATGAATGCCCACCTTTCTTTCTGTGTTACAGATGTCATGTACTTTCCACCCAAAATTCTGACAAGTGTTGGATCGAATGCTTCCTTTCACTGCATCTACAAGAATGAAAATCAAATTATTTCCTCAAAACAGATAGTTTGGTGGATGAATCTAGCTGAGAAAATCCCTGAAATCCAGTATAGTGCTGTGAATGACCATGTTAGCAAAGTCACTTTCTCCAACTTGAAAGCCACTAGACCTCGAGGGAAGTTTGCCTATGACGCAGTGTACTGCTGCAGTGGGCAAGGGTGCCATCATCGCTATGCTGAGTTATATGTGATCGGTAAGAATCCCAAGGCTGGCCTTGTCCATTTTGTCCCATGAGATCACTTGTCATGGACTGTGTTAGAGTTCTGTTGAAGATATAAAGAAAATGTTTTTCATGATTTTTTTTTGGTGTTTGTACTTTATATTAATATTTTAATGTGTTTTAAATAGATGTCAATATCAATATATCATGTGAAACTGATGGGTACTTAACTAAAATGACTTGCAGATGGTCACCCAGCACAATCCAATCACTTGTGGGAAGCACTGTGCAGTTGAGGTATCACAGGTATGTCTAGTGCTTGCTTCTTTGCTTTTCCCTGGGCATGGCACAATTAAACTTTCTGTTAATCTATTACTATAGCAGAAATATGATGATTGGGGGGTGTCCTTCTGAATGCTGTGAATACATGCTTCTCTTATTGGTTGATGAATAAAGCTGTTTTGGCCAACAGGAAGGCAGGATGTAGCCAGGCAGGAAGTATAGGCAGGGCTACCAGACTAGGAGGGTTCCAGGAGAGGAATGCAGAGAGTGAGTCTCGAGAGAGATGCTGTGTAGCTACCAGAAAGCTAGGACATTTTGGGCATTCCCAGTAAGCCAAGGCCATGTAGAGATACACAGATTAATAGAAATGGGTTAATAACTAAGAGAGAACTAGGCAATGAGAAGCCTGCACCATCAGCCAAACAATTTATAATTAATATAGGCCTCTGTGTATTTATTTGGGACTGAACGGCTGCAGGACTAGGTAGGACAGAAACCTCTCTGTCAACAATCTGGCACAGTTTTCTCCCTGAGCAGAAGTTTGAATATAATTTTTAGAAAAATTGTGAGGAATCACATAAAATTGTAATCCTTGAAAACACTCACACCCGATGCTAATATATATATATATTGTTTTAACCTCATATTATCATGTATGCCAAACAGTTTCCCAGGATTGCATTTTGACTCTTGAGTAACATGCAAGGAAAGCAAGAGACTTATTTCCCATGCAGTGTATTTGGGTTCAGTGATGGGCTAAATAGGCTGTGCAAAAAAGTTGAATGTCATTTGGCTAACGGTCAGTATTTTAGGAAAAAGGCAAAGGAACAAGGTTCTACAAAAAGTGACTGTTTTTTTAGAATGAAGTGAATTAAGTTAGGAAGCAAATAGTAGTTAATGAGGGGTAATAGGTTCTATTGAAGAGAATTGTGTGCTTATTTATTTTTACACTTCTTTGTTTAAATTTAAGAAGTCTTCATATAGTATTTGCTTTGCTTTGACATAGCATGTGTCCTAAATTGTATCTCACTATTGAGAAGATAAATCCCTCTTTGTTTTTAAAGGATCCCGGGGTAGCCATCCAGTATGTTTACTACTCTTATACTCTATATTCTGATATTTAAATTTGTGTCAGAGGATAATGTGCCCACTTAGTCTTAAAATCTAAAATTTCAGCTTGGAAAACATATCTCTCCTCTCAAGTTTTGTGATCTGGACTCTATCGCTCATATTCTGTGTTGACTCCTCTGCAGTCCTGAAAGAAAAATGGCAATCTGTGTTTCTTAAATGGAAAAAATTATTGCCTTTATCCAATGTGCTATGAATATTTTAAATCAATTGCAAGTTTGTGATAGGCTGTATTAATTATGTATGTCTTTCTGTGCATTTTCACATGCAAGCATATGTTTGCTGAAGACTATTTTATGAGCCCCATGGCTCATTTACCATCCTAAATTCACAGGATCATCATATAACCAACTACGAGTACTTAGTGAGCTTTTGAACCTCCCACATGTTAATTTCCTTGTCTATACATGGAAAGAATGGTAGGATATATGTGGTTTCTAGGGCAATTAATGGCATTTCATTTCATTGCAATTAAGCAATAGTGTCTCCTAAGAAACATTCCATTGGAGCAATCAATAAATGATTATTGCTTCACAATGATGATGCTAATCATTCCAAGTTAAACCTTCACCACTGTGTTTCTACACTGCTATTTTCTATCCAGTGATGATTATACATCCCTCTGTCATTGTATTTCTTGCCTACCATCAATAATCTGAACACACACACATTGAGGAGAAAGTACAAAGATTTTAGTGTTTTCATTTTCTTCCTCATTTTCATCCCTGTGGAGAGAGTAGTCATAACTTTGGTCATTTAAATAATGTCTTCATAGCAAACCGTGTCAGAAGGAACATTTCAAAGAAAAGAAACAGCTTATTCTCTCCATCCATGTATGGATCAGGATTTGGCATTATTTTAATTACATCAGTTTGAGTCAGAAAGCATTAGGGTACTGTCAATCAAGCCAAATATATCCAACAATTATATTATCACTTTTTGTTGGAATTTAACCAACTGTTTAAGGCAAGAAGAATCTGCTTTTCCTCCACCTCAGGAGTATGTCCAGTGCTACTTTCGATACTGCTACAACTGTGTTGCTGATTCAAGCCTCTAGTACAGGGGTTCTCAACCCGTAGGTCCCCATCCTTTGGAAAACTTGTATTAAAAAACCTTACATTATGATTCATACAAGTAGCAAAATTACAGTTATGAAGTAGCAACAAATGTTATGGTTGGGGGTTACCACAACGTGAAGAATGGTTTTAAAGAGTCGACACACTAGGAAGGCTGAGAACCCTGGGCTAGTGTGACCATTGCAGTCCTGCAGATCTATTGCTAATTTGTCTTCTTGTCAGCTCTTCCAATTGCCTTCACTACTCATTGCTCATGAAATGTTTTTATAGTTACTGTTCCTATGGAAATACTAAGATCCAGAGATAGCTAGAAGCTCAAGAGTGCCTTCCTGATCAAAACATCAATTTTTAGACAGAACACCATCTCTTTTGAACAACAAATCTGAGTTCTAAAATGTCTTCTTCCTCATTAATACTGCATATTAACTGGCTATTTTTTCAAATGTCTTTTAAGGAGCAGCCTGTATTGTTCTGACAGCCCATCTATTCATCCTGCATCTGAGCCCCAAAACTGCATTTTGCAGAGGGATGGCTTTTATGAATGTGTTTTCCAGCCAATCTTTCTATTATCTGGCTACACAATGTGGATCAGGATCAACCATTCTTTAGGTTCTCTTGAGTCTCCACCAACATGTGTCCTTCCTGACTCTGTAGGTATGTCAGAGAGCATTGTGTATTTTCCCCAGATTTGGATGCCATTTTCTAATCACACTGGATTTTGAAAAGAATGATTTTGTTTATAGAGGAATTGAGACAATTGGCCTTAGGAAGCTTTCTAGTTTTGAGTTTCTTATTGTCATTTTGAGTTTAATTTTTATTATTTGTAGAATGTTTGTTTATGAATATGGATAATAGAGTCATAACAGTTAGATACTTCAATATAGCACTTGATGAGTTGCATGTGTCATTGTGAGTGCAATTTTATGAGGTTTTTATAAAATATAAAGTGTCCCTCCAGTGTAGTTCTAAAAGCTTTTGCTATTTTAATCTGAAAGTTTCATTTGGGTAATTTAAAGGCTTTATAAGTTCAGTAATAATATTTTAAGACTTTAATTTGTAAAGCTGGGTAAGAGGCATTTGAAATATGAAATGAAGGGCATGAAGAAAATTGACAAAGATGACGAGATCTGTAATAATATTCACAGAGTTTTAACAAGTATCTTGAGATACTCGAGACATTTGATGTATTATTCCAAAGTTGCTGTGGAATATTTGAAAAAAATGATTCATTTCTGGTCATTTATTTTGTTGTTATATGTTATTTTATTAGGAAATTATGGGAAAATCAGTATACTTTTTCAATTAATCAGGACACATTTGAAGTAGAATCTATATTTTGTTAAATATAGGATGAACTCCTTTTAACTATCTGTCTTCCTATATAAATGTCCAGTTGGTTGATTATCTCTTTATTAGCACGATTCCATTGTGTTTTTACTGCAATTGGTACTTTTCTGTTACTTAATATTTTATGCTTATAAAGGTTCATGAATAGTCACACACAACATGAAGTCAACAACATGTTATCTGAGTAACATAGGTTGTTTTGCTTTGCAAAACTAAAACAAATACCTTAAATCATTGCTTTCCAAAACTAAAACAAATAATTTAAATCAGTCTCATCTCACCTTAGGGAGAGAGCAATGTGGAAATTAAGCTTTGGGATATAAATCTCAGCTCCACCTCTTCCTAGCTTTTAAAACTTGGATTAGGCACACAAACATTCTGTATCACCTATCAACTGTGTGTAGCTCTTCATACTCTCCTGCTGTGTGCATCACTGTGGGCAGTGTGTATACTACCTCTTGGGTAGTTACTGAATCCATCCATGTGACCCACAACCAAAGAATCAATTCTAATGTTGTCTCAAATGTAGACACTTCCTTTCTTGAAAAGAAATGGCCTTTTCCAGAAATGAAAGTTTGATCATCTTACTTAGTGGTGAATACTATCATATACTATGAGGAATTTAATGATCACAAGAAATGACATACTAATGATAAGTTTAAGGTGTTCTGATCTGAATGGTCTAAAGTACAAGCATTGATTGCTTAAATGATTAAAAAGTACTGCTCAAACAAGAGATCATGCTTTTACAAGGTGGTTGTTTTTAGAATTGCGACTTAGAGGAGGAGAATGATGGCAAACACTCATGTTGTGCCTGTCTGGGGTATTCTTTGTTCCCTATGAATCAATATTGTGCTGACTTACAGAGCTCGAGGGAAGCAGCAGGTTTGGGAGAGACCACAAATATTTACAGAGGCTCTCTTATCTTCCCCCATACAATGCCTGTATGGTTTATGGGTTGGTGGGTTTCTTTCTATGCCCTTCCATCCCCAGAGTTGTGTATTTCATGTTCTAGTCAAGGTCCATCTCTCTTTGGATAGTTCAATGGCATAGGTACTCATTAAAAATCATTTTCAAGAAGAGGAGCATCCTGGTCATCATCCTAGAGACTCTGGACTCTACCTGGTGTTAACCTGTTAGATTGGCAGCTGTGAAGGGAGCCAGTGGGATCTGAGATAGGAGAGAATGGTCTCAAGAGAAAAGTTCCTTACCAGCTGGTGTGAAAGTATAGTACTTAAGCATTTTAATGTGTTGTTATAGCAACTGAACCCATTGCTCCATTCATGGGTGTCACCCACAAGTAAAGACAAGACAGGTGTGTCACTGTAAAGTTCATTCTTGGTGTCATGACACAATTACGAGATCTAGAGGCATAAGCTGTGCTAGAGCTTCCAGGGTCGAGTACAATAAATCATATTTCCTTATTGTCTTACTCTTAGCAGAAATGGTCCTCTAAGGGAAAAATTGATAATGTTGAGCAAATGCACATCCAGGATGTGAGTCAAAGTTAGGCTGAGAGCAGCAACATAAGATGATACCAAAAACAGGTAGCTGTTGGCTCATGCTTTTAATCCCAGTGCTAGTGAGTCAGAGGCAGGCCGATTTCTGTGAGTTCAGGACCAGTCTGCTCTATTTAGTGAGTTCTAGGCCAGCCAGGGCTAGGAAGAGAGACTTTACTGAGAGAAAGTGGCAGAGAAGAAGGGAGAGCGGAGGAGGAGGAAGGAGGAGGAAGGAGGAGGAGAAACAAGATTACCATCTTCCGTGCATTTCTATATTTTTATGCATTTCATCTTCAAACATGTCTTTATTTTTTAAAAAAAAATCGTGTTAAAAAATCATTTGTGATCTAAGTCACCTCTGCTAATTAAAATCTGTTTCCTCAGATTTTAGAAAGCAGACTTCCAACAGCTCAGTCAGCGGGTATTCTCTGACCTTGCAAAGTGACATAGATAACATACTGATAAGGTTTTCATTGCATCTCTTTGCTTACAAAGTAGAGATAATCCTTTTTATGTATTACAGAAAGCTATAGGCATGGGCCAATGAATGAGGAAGCTTTAAAAAGGTGTTACCTTATACATATGAAGTATAATATTGCTGTTTAAGTTACTATTGCATGATACTATTTTTTTAAATTTCTAGTAAAACCACTACCTCCATCTAGTGTGAAAGCAGAGATTACTATAAACACTGGATTATTGAAAATATCTTGGGAAAAGCCTGTCTTTCCAGAGAATAACCTTCAGTTCCAGATTCGATATGGCTTAAATGGAAAAGAAATACAGTGGAAGGTACCTTTTGCTTCTAATTGTTTTCTTCTCTGTTCTCTCTTCTTCTCTCCTTTCCCCCACCCCTCTGTAAATTAGAGTTTCTCTGTAGTCCAGGCTGCCCTCAAAGTCACTCTGTAGCCCATGCTGGCCTCCAACTTGTGGACCTCTGATGTTTTAGCCTCCCAAGTGCTGGGACTACTAAGTGCTATTTAGGTGTTGTATGAACACATACTAATTATTCTTAATAATGGGTTTCACTATGACATTTTCATATACATGTGTATTTTGATCACATTCACCCCCTCTTACCAACTTTTATTCTGCTACCACTGATCCCTTTCCTCTTCCTAGCCAGTCCCCCTTCTCCATCTTTGGAAAGGATTTTTTTCCCCCACAGGAACATGGTCAGCTTACTAGTGGATATACCTTTAAAGACAATGTCTCATCTTCCCCCAGCAACAGGGAAATCCTCAGGGAGAAGTGGGGGCCTTGTGATCCCTTCTCCTTTCCATGAGCAACTTTAAATAGGGGTTTCTCTTCCACCAGCCAGTTCCCAAATTAACACTCAGAGACTTAATATTAATTATAATTGTTTGGCCGGTGGCTCAAGCATATTATTAATTAGCTCTTACAACTTAAATAAACCCATTTCTATTAATTTACTTTTTGCCCATGGCCATGGCATTACCTCACATCCACTTCTCCAGCAGCTGCATGGCATCGCCCTGACTCCACCTTCTTTCTCTCTGTTTCTCTGTTTGGATGTCTCAACTGGCTCTATTCTGCCAGGCCATTGGCCAAAACAGCTTTATTCACCAACCAATAAAAGCAACATATCCTTGTAGCATACAGAAGGACATTCCACATCAACCAACCTCACGCATGTCTCATGTAGGAGATCACAACTGCTGAGAGTCAAACATGCTGCAGCATTTTAATATGTTTAAGAGTTTTGTTACATCACATTATCACTGGCATACAAATATTACTCTCCCCTATTGTGTAATTGCTTTCATTATTTAGGTCAGTGGTTCTCAACCAGCGGGTTGCAACCCTTTTCACAGGAGTCATATATCCGATATTTACATTATGAGTCATAATAGTAGCAATATGACAGTTATAAAGCAGCAATGAAAATAATTTTATGATTGGGGGTCACTACAACATGAGGAACTGTATTAATGGGTCACATTATTAGGATGGTTGAGAAGCACTGACTTAGATTGTCAAAGTTTAATCCTTGCAAGGAACAAAAAAAATAGCATACATGACAGGACATTTTCCCAGTGAACTGTTCATGAAACAGAGATTGCCTTGCTAAATAGGCTCAGGAAACCCTGCCTCATTGTACATTCCTGCTGTAGAGATGCAGTTTATGACATGAAAGGTTTGGAGAAGGCCTTCGCTGAAGAAACATTTGCCATATTTCATCCTTTGTTTCCACACTCATTTTCTCAGGGACCCACATTTCATCTAAGCTGGTATCTTTCAGTATGTTCATGAATGGGACATTTTGAAAGAGACTACTTTTATTAAACAATCATAGCTTTAAGTATGCATATGGGAAACTTTGTTTCAGTTTTTCAGGGCAGCTTGCTAAGAATGGAAATACAAGAAACCCTAATTACACTGTTAGCACAATGGCATCAGTTGTGGGTAGCACAACTTATCCTCTTGATTCTCTAGAGAGGGCCCTGTCTGACAAGCATTTTGAATTCTTGTCTTTGTGGTAGAGATAGAATTAGCAGTAGGGCAAGAGTATGTTTGAAATTGACCTTGCAAGTGCAATGAGTCAACAAGGGAATGACCAGGTGTGTGAGGCAGCATTCCTTTGACTGGCCAAATGTCATGAGTTCCTGAAATGAGAAAATAGAGCATCACTTTGTCTCGAGTTTGGAATGGTGTTAAGGCTTAAAATAAAAGCATGCTTCAGGCTGCATAGGAGGCATGTGTATTGACAGTGTGGCTTCTGTTACAGATGCATGAGGTATTTGATGCAAAATCAAAGTCTGCCAGCCTGCCGGTGCTGGACCTCTGTGCAGTGTATGTGGCACAGGTACGCTGCAGGAGATTGGATGGACTTGGGTACTGGAGTAATTGGAGCAGGCCAGCCTACACGCTTGTCATGGATGTAAAAGGTCTGTGAACACTTACCAATGTTTCTTGAAAGTGCAGAAGCGTGAGCTATGAATGTGACTGGAAACATTCTTTCCAAAAACATCTGTCCAACTTGGGCTTCCTGTCATTTTGCAGTTCCTATGAGAGGACCTGAATTTTGGAGAATAATGAATGGCGATATTACTAAAAGGGAGAGAAATGTCACCTTGCTTTGGAAGGTATTTCTAATTTCTATCTTTTATTTTATTCTGACATTATGTTTGTCTATTCTTTGTTTATGGCCCTGTCACTATTGATCTCACAAATGACCCCAAATCTTATGTTTTAATGCATTTTGGAGATGTGGTTGTTCAGAGCTAAGCATCTAGGGTTTTGACATAGTCAAGAGCCTTTATTATTTTCTTATGTTAATTATAATTGTGCCATTGATATTTTGACAAAGTCTTGGACTATTTGGGCTTCTCATTTGGCATCTGTATCAGGATAAGATTACTAAATGATAATTAATGTTGCTTCAAGTCTACAATTTGGTTGCAATTGAATCTTAAACAATGTAAATATGGCTTTCCCCTTACACTGTAAGCAAATAAGATGTAAGAGAGGATTTGAACTATGTGATGGCATAGTAAGTGTTTTCTACAATGATGGATAATCAATTTGGAAATGCCAAAGCATCCATTCTTCTAAAGAGTTGACTTCTTTCCCAAATAAATAATTTCAGGAGTAGGTATCAAACTTAGGGTTGACTTAGGAATAAAATACACGAGGTAGGCAATGCTATGTTTATTATGTCAATGGGAAAGACTGTCAGGAGAATGAAAAGATCATTGCATCGAGAACTCCTCAGCTTTGACAATAAGAAAACAAATAGCCCAACAAAAATGTAGACCAAATATCTGGTCTACATATCTAACCAAAAGGAGACCCATGGATGACAAATAAAAACATGACAGGAGTCTCATGACAATGTTTGTCATTGTTGAGGATTTACAAAGTAAAACAACAATGAGCTATGAGTCCATGTCTACTAAACTAGTTAATTACCTTTCAAATTGCTGATTGAGAACACAGAGTATCAAGAAACTCGGTTTGCTGCTCATAGCAATGCAAACTTCTATAGCCTCGATGGACCATTGTGCTCATAAATGCTTATCTGTGTGACTTGAAAACTTTCTCTACAGGAGAACTTGCACATGAGTTATTCAGACCACTGTATTTATAATTATTATTCTAAAGTGAGACTCTTCAGTAGAAAATGAAATGGTAGGCACGCAACACTGCACATTTGCCAAACCCCAAATGTCATTAGGACAAAAGGTAAACCTTAAAGCATACAGATTTTAAAAAATCATAGACTGGACGATTTGAGAATGAAACACAGATTAGATTATGACTATCACAAGTGTATGAAATTACCTCACTGTGGGGGGCAAGGGGAAGGGCTTAATTAACTTTGGAAATGAGTCTGAAGTATGAAAGATATGAGACACTATGTGAACATTTTGGAGTTGCGCATTTTTCCAGGGAGATAGGCTAGCAGTTATTACATTAATGTATGTCTGTCTTGATGGAAAAGTTAAGATGAATGGGGAAAAGTACAGGTTTTCCACTGCTCTCCAGGGAGGCTCCAGACTAGCAAGAAAGTTAGCCATAATGATTCTTGTAGTCATAGATTGGAGTTAGAAGTCAACATAAGCTCATGTTAAGCATAGGTGGGTTTCTTTTAGAAATATTTAGAGATATGTATATGTACAGAATTCAGTATACATGCATACATCCTTGATTTTGAAAGCTAAGAGGTCCTAAAAGTTAAGACTGTTCAAGAGGAAGGAGTGTTTCTAACACTATTATTCAGTCAAAGAAATCAGGACCTGAGAGAAATGATCATTTTAGGGCCGAGGCAGTAAATAAATGTCCCTAATCTTTTAATGTCCCTAATTTTTTACTCTGATTGAAAAATTACTAACATATCAAAATGGCATGGGTTCTTCAGATGAAATAAAAGTGGTATTGCCTTAAATATTTTTTTCTTGCACCTTACGATGATCCACCACACTGCATCTGTGTGTCTCTGTCATTTTTCACCCGGAGACACTTGTTTTGGTTTGTGGTGTAAAATTCAGCTCTTCATAGCTTTATAAGGGATTGGCAGCATTTACTTTTCCCTGCAACATGTAAAGGTGATTGTTTGGGAAGTGAAGGGGCTTTCTGGACTCTTCAGTATAGAAGGACATGGAGCTGAATGGAATGGAATGTTTTACACAGGAATCTTCTGTAACACAGAATAATATTTTACAGAAAGATATGAAACAGAAATGTCCAGGGCCACACAGATTTCCCAGATAGCCTCTGTTATTTGTTAACCTTCAAGGTTTTTGTTTTGTTTGCGAAACTCTTCTTGCTGTAGCTAATCTTCTAAGCATAATGTAGTGGCAGTGGGTTTGCAAAGTGATGATGACCACCTGAGCCTTCTTGTTCCTTCCCAGATGAGGAAGCTTTTCACCAGTCTTTACAATTTGAGTGGAGATTCTTAGTATTTCCTATGTGTTCTTCATATTTCAAGTGTCCTGTGTTCTTACTTCATTTTCTTTAATCTCTGTGTCTGAAGAAAAACACAGGAAAGATAATTCCCCTGTGCCGAATGACTCCTAGGTATATCCATGCCTACTGCATTGCTCAGTCTCAATCCCATTGCCACCCCAATGCCTTAACACTAAATTGGACATTGCCTACTTTGGTCTAACTCCTGCTTCCTTGTGGCAATTTATAATCAGAATTCTATGAGCTCAATTGTTATAAATGCTGTGGTCCATGCACTAATCAAGTTTTGTGTTTACTTCAGCCCCTGATGAAAAATGACTCCCTGTGCAGTGTGAGGAGGTATGTGGTGCAGCATCGTACTGCCCACAATGGGACGTGGTCAGAAGACGCTGGAGATCAGACCAATCTCACTTTCCTGTGGGCAGAACAAGCACACACCGTTACAGTTCTGGCCATCAACTCCATTGGCGCTTCCCCTGCGAATTTTAATCTAACGTTTTCATGGCCAATGAGTAAAGGTAAAGGATGCCGAGAAATAGTTGATTGCCCTACTTACTTACTTATTTATTTATTTTGATTTTTCGAAGCAGGGTTTCTCTGGGTAGCTCTGGCTGTCCTGGAACTCACTCTATAGACCAGGCTGACCTCAAACTCACAGAGAACTCCCTGAGTGCTAGAATTAAAGGCATGTGCCACCATTGCCTGGCTTATTTTATTTATTTCTATGGTGAGTCATACACAATTCTAGTATTAGTATTTCAACTGACTGTTAAATTACGATGTGGCCTGTTTGCATGACTTTTTGTGTATCACTTTGTCTATATCATTCCTACTCCTTCCCCCACAATTCCTCCCATATCCATCCTCTAAAATTCATGTTCTCTTCTTTATTATTAAATATTATACATGTATATACATATGCATATGTACATATACATAAATACATACATACACACATCTTACTGAGTCTATTTAGCTTTACTCATATGTACATGTGTCCAGGGATAACCACTTGGGATTAGTCAACCTGTGCTGGAACTCATCCGTGGAGGAGACTGACTCTTCCTCTCTAAGCATCCACTGATCATCTTCAGCTCTTAATCTAGGGGTGGGTGTTGGGGCCTCGGTGCTGGCACACAACACACCCAGATACAAAGTTCTCAGCACAAAGGAGATTCAGTATCCCAGAGGGATAAGCAGGGCTGGGGACTGGGGAAGGGCTGCCTTTGTATGGACAAAGAGAGCAACAGGTAGCTCTACAGTGGTGGTTTTTAAGGAGAAAAAGGGGGAGTCTGGTAGGATGAGTTGGTAAGTCCTGATTGGACATGTTAGCATGTGTAGCCAAATAATAAATCTTGTTTGCTGGACTTTGGTGTTTCAGTAGCTGGACCTTGGAGTTTTAGTCAAGCATAAGGAAGTGTCCAAATAAGGGAATAGACCTTGGGGCTTAGCTTTACGAATGTAATCTAACATTTTAGCAAGGGAGAGGGAAGGTGGATGGACAAGACCTGCTAGCACCAGGTTGGCCTTCCTGAGCCTGTTACAGAACCCTTCATTGGGACCATGTGGAATTTCTCCTGTCCACATTGGCATGTCAACTGGTGTTGTCATTATGCTGTTCTTGTTTGGGCAGCAATATTTTTTAGAGTTTGTGTCTAGTGGACCCCATCTAACGGTAGATGTCCTGAGCCTCTGACTCCTGCAGTCTTTCCCTTCCCTCTTCCATGATATCCCCGGGCTTCAGGCATGTTTAGTGTGTAACCTCTGCACAGCCCTTCTTGTCTCAATCAATTCTGAGCAGTCCAGTCAAGGATATTTGCATACTTACTATCTGTGTGAAAAATATATTGCAAACCATCTGCAGCAGAATATTGCAGTAAATCTAATACTTAAATTAGTGAGTGAGTCACTATCTCTCTTTAAAAATTAGAATATAAAACATTTTATATATAATGTTAATATTTTATTATATAGTATTCTATTTATGCATACTGGGTATACTATGGTATATATTTACATGTAGTGTATTTATAGTATTTACTTGTGTATAAAATGCTGTATATTTTGGTAATAGCATAGCATGCTAAATGGACTCAAATTAGTTGCTGAGAGTGAAAGCTATTGTGCACTTTATGTCATGTGAGTAGTGAACACCTCACCTTTTAAATTAATATTGGTATATTTGATCATTCTGAGCACTGGTACTTTCTTTTATAAAATATATTTTTATACTTAGAATACAACACTTACCTTTTGTAAGGTTTATTTATTTATTTATTATGCATACAGTGGTCTGTCTTCATGTATCCCTGCAGGCCAGAAGAGGGCTCTGTGTCTCATTACAGATGGTTGTGAGCCATCTGTGGTTGCTGGGAATTGAACTCAGGACCTCTGGAAGACCAGCTAGTATTCTTAACCACTGAACCATCTCTCCAGCCCTATAAAATGTATTTTAAAGTGAATTAATTTGGGGGGGGTGCACATGCCAGAGTATGTATGGAGGTCAGAGGGCAACTTGTGGAAATTGGTTCTTCCCTTCCATCATGTCGGTCCTCAGGGATCTAGCCTCTTGTTAGGCTTGGTGGCTGGTGCCTTTACCTTCAGGGCCACTTTGCTGGCTCAAGAGCCACTCTCAATAAGACCTTATAATCTGTATTTTGTATAAAAAGATACCATTTTAAGTGGAAGAATACTCATTTCTGGTTCTCTACCCACCTCCTGACCTATCCAAGGGTCACTTATTACATGAAGTCTTTGATTATTGTTTGAAAATGTTCAATCCCTTTAACGTTCAGAGCACTTTCTAAATTTTTAAAGATACTTTATTATTTTTAATTAAAAATATATTAGTATGTGTATCTTTGTGAGTATGTGCATGAGTAATGTGTATTTATGGGCACACATACTACAGCATGTGTGTGGAGGTTGGAGCATAACTTAGTGCAGGTGATTTCACCTTCCACCTTTATGTGGGTCCTGGAGATTGAGATAGGGTCTCATTATATGGCCCTGGCTGGCCTAGAACTCACTATACAGACCAGTCTAGTCTTGAACACCTCTACTCTACTCCTCAGGAATATGATTTTTTTTTTTTTTTGAAAGAAGGTAAATAGGAACTTGATCTTGGATAGAGAAACTGGCGTGAGGCAATAACATTGATTAGGAACCGAATTTCTTCCCACAGGTTTGGGATTGGGAAGTTTTAGCTTCCAGAAGATCAGGGGAAGAGATGAAGGGAGACTAGGGCAGCTTCTACATGGAGAAACAGACACAGTAGGAAGGTTGAGACATGGCCAAGTAAGCATGACAGGAATGTCCTCCTCCAATGTGGAAGTCTATTGAGGCTTCCTGAAGGGACTCTGCTGAGGGCAGTTTTTGAAAGTTTCACTCATCAATGGGAGAGAGAAGTATGTGGGAATCAGAGAGTATGGTCAATAGGCTTGTGTGTGATTCCAGCTGAGAACAGTTTTTGGCCCTACCAAAATTCCATTTTTAGATTTGAGGTAGAATCACTTTTCTTCACTACATCATAAGGTCCTGCATTCTGCTTGTATGAGCTCCATGGCATTCATATAAATTGTCTGCCTGCTTTCCTTTCTCCCTTCATCTGGGTTATTTCTCAAGGCAATTAGTAAATTTTCATTACTCTCGAATTTAAAATAAATTCCTCCTCTTCCCCTCAGTGAGTGCCGTGCAGTCACTCAGTGCTTACCCCCTGAGCAGCAGCTGTGTGATCCTTTCCTGGATACTGTCACCCGGTGATTACAATCTAATATACCTGGTTATTGAATGGAAGAATCTTAATGAAGATGACGGGATGAAATGGCTTAGAATCCCTTCGAATGTTAAGAAGTATTATATCCATGGTATGTTTATAATACGTTTCATGGGCTCGTATGACACTGTAGATTGGGAAATGGTTAATGACAACCTCAAAATGCATACACCAAGTGCTGCCTACTGAATTATAGACGTGTTGTCTGGTCAGAATGTTTGCTGTATTTCTGTGAGCATTTTTCTTTTATGTTTTACACAGATGCAATCAGATGTCCTAAACCTTCTCCCCAACCCTTTCTGTCAGAATATGTGACGATCATATAGCCTTTTATTCTAAAGTGTCCCTAAGGTATTTATTTAGTTGAGTTCATGTTGCTTCCATCTTACTCTTAATGTCTTCTACGGTCTAATGCCAACCCCACCCCACCCCAACTCAGTATCCAATTACAGTGTCACTAAGCAATGAGTAGAAGGGTTAGGCTGGAAGTCTGAGGACTTTGGATCTCTTGATGTAGGTCAGTGTAATCCCTCCAAGAAGGGCCAGTTACCCTGAGAGGAGGTAAGTGAATAGAACAGTGTCAGCTCCAGCAGAGCCAGAAGGAAAGGGGCTTGAATAGGGAAGCTGGGGGCTGCCCTGGTCTTACACCATCTAGAGAAACCACACTTCCCTTTTATCCCAACACCTAGAATTTAGCCTCAGGCGAAATTTATCTATATACTATAAGCAGGGGACCAGGTTCATTATCACTGCTGTAGGTAGTTGCTTTGCCCTATAATTCAGAGAGACGATGAGTGCAGGGTTCTCAGAACTCTGCCTCTTACAAGCTTCCTGGTCATGTGTCATTGCCAGATCTGTCATGAACATTGCTATAGGGCTCATCATTCCCCACATTATTGGGACCCCCAGATAGAACAAGAGAACTCTTCAGTCTCTATCCCATTGTTTCTGTGACTTCTGCAGGCTACTTTGAATGGGAAAACTAAGTATAAGCTAAATTCCCTACCCCGAGGATGATGGGAGAATGGAGAACACACTATCCAGGAGGAGAAAATTCAGGAACAAAGGAAAAAAATATCTTGAACAAACTTGGCTCTCACTGGGGCACACCCGTGGAAAAACAGTATTTGTGTCTGAGGAAGAGTTTTGAAAATCAGTATTGTTACTAGCAAACTTTGGAGTGTTTGGGTTATTTCTGAAAACCCTTTAGCCATCAAGCTAAGATGTGTTGGAACAACATAGCCTGTGTTTTTCTATATAGGTTTCATTCTTAATTAACATGAACTTTTACTGTTCCTTTTTCTTTTCAGATAACTTTATTCCAATTGAGAAATATCAATTTAGTCTTTACCCAGTATTTTTGGAAGGAGTTGGAAAACCAAAGATAATTAATGGTTTCACCCAAGGTAAAAAACAAACAAACAAACAAACAAACAAAAAACCAAAAGCATTTTCTTTCTTTACAAAAGTGTTTGTGTGTGATTCATGTATTAATATTGATGTTCTCTGTACATGTGCCCCACACCCAAGTGGAGGCCCGGGGAAAACCCTTGGACCCTGTCCTACTCCAAGCTTGCATGGTAAATGCTTTCCCTGCTGAGGCATCTCCCTGGCCCTACTTTCCTTTCTCTATGAGCTTCCTATGTTATGCTGACACTGGATTAATTTTTCCTCATAGGATCATGGAAGAGCTAGAATTTTACCTAGATGTGTCATTGTGTCATTCAAAGAAAAAAAATTTTTTTTTTGTCTGAAACAAGATAGTTAAACTCACTGGAAACATTCTGTTTTGATTACTACACTCACCCATATTTAAACGTCTTATTACTTTTTAAATCCAAGCAACCCAATAATACAGTTTCAAAAGTGAAACATTTTAATTGCTTCTAGAATACTAATTATTTATTTCCAACAAGTATGTGTTGAACATCGTTCAAAGGACCAAAGACAAAATGGTGAACATAAAGCTGCCTTTTGGGGACATTGGTCTCAGTGCTGCACAGGCAGTGGCAGGCAGTGGATACATTATTTAAGATGCAGTGCCAAGTGAAAGTCAGTTCCTTGAAGGCAAATTCAAGTGAGATGAAGCCAGCAAGGAAAGGATGGTTAGATGGTCTTTCTGTTGGCTCCAGTCCTTGAGCAAAGCTCTGACAATGGAAGGAAAAACATTGCAAGCTGGGGTGCCACATGCCATGCCCTGAGGAGTGAACATGGTAGCTGATGCTACAGCAAAGATCATCAGGCCAGAACGGCATGTGTAAAGGCCCTGAGGCCTTAAACAGCGAAGATTCTGGTGTGAGTGGAGCTAAAAGGATGGAGATTGGCGGGTGTCATCAACTGGGTCTACAGGAGCAGATAGTGAGCTTATCACAGCAACTTTAGTTGGTGCGCTGACTAATAAAGTTTTAAAAAAATGATTAGATGGAGAGGCCAGACAAGTACATAATTCTAAACGATGTTTTTGCTAAATGTCAAGTATAATACTAGTCAAAACAACTATTACTGTGGCCACAATGCATTTTTATTTCTCCTTTAAAAATACTTAATTAATTGGGCTGGAGAGATGGCTCAGAGGTTAAGAGCACTGACTGTTCTTCCAGAGGTCCTGAGTTCAATTCCCAGCAACCACATGGTGGCTCACAACTATCTGTAATGAGATCTGCTGCCCTCTTCTGGTCTGCAGGGATACTTGCAGATAGAATATTGGATATATAATAAATAAAAAGTCTTTTAAAAATATAATTAATTAGCCAGGCATTGGTGGCACATGCCTTAAATCCCAGCACTTGGGAGGCAGAGGCAGGTGAATCTCTGTGAGTTTGAGGCCAGCCTTGCCTACAAGAGCTAGTTCCAGGACAGGCTCCAAAGCCACAGAGAAACCCCATGTCAAAAAACAAAACAAAACAAAAAAATTATTTTAAGTTTTGCATGATTGACTGTTTGCTTGCACATTTATTTGTATGTGCACCAAATACATTCCTAATACCCTCAGAGGCCAAGAGGGAATCAGATATCAGATATCCTGGAACTGAAGTTGTAGATGGTGGTGAACTGCCATGTGGGTTCTGGGAAATGAACCTGGGTCCATTGCAAGAACAGCCAGGCCATCTCTACAGCTCCTGTTTTCTTCTTTCTTAAGGTTTTGTATGTTTGGAGGTAATTCAGATTTAGGAAATTAGATTGTGTGTTCTGTAGATGATTTTATGGAATAGTCTCTTTAAGTGGCTGATGGTTTGACTCGTGTCTGTCTTTCAGATGATATGGACAAGCAACAGAATGATGCAGGGCTGTATGTGATTGTGCCCATAATTATTTCCTCTTGTGTCCTACTGCTTGGAACACTGTTAATCTCACACCAGAGGTATTGCACTTGGTGCTAAGGGCTTTTGCCATAAAGAGTATAATTTACATATATTTATATATGTAATAAGTCATAATACTAACAAGTATAAAAGTATTGAAACTGTCTTTAGATGTCTTCCATATACAATTAATATGACACAAAAGAAGAGGTTGTTTACAGCAAATGACTGTTTACCTTGATAAGACAACATAAACTTGAAGACAGAATTCTTCAAATTTTTTTTCTTGCTGGGGCATGGTGGCATATATATGCCTTTAATCCCAGCACTTGGAAGGAAGAAGCAAGCAGATCTCTGAGTTGGAGGCCAGCCTGGTGTATAAAGGACAGCCAGGGCTACAAAGAGAAACTTTGTCTCAAAACTAAAAACAAATAAACAAAAAAAAAAAAAAACAAAACAAAATAAAAAATCTTTTTCTTTATATGCATCCAGGAATCAGCTGACATGTAGCAGGAAATCCTGGATAGCATATTCTTAGGTTTGGTAAAATGACTTTTAGAGGTCTGTATTCTGAACTGAAGATTTTAGTGAGATCATGGGGCCTTACAAGTAATGTTTCATGGCTATCTGAAGCAGTCTGTCATGGCAGCAGGCAGCACTCTGCCATTCAGAGGACAGTGCTTCAGAAAGCTCAGGGGTATCCAGCTTGACAAAATGGCCTTGACTTCCCTGTGGCTCTGTGGGTGCCACACGATTCGGCTGAGACACCCAGCTCACGGGGTTTCCTCAGACATGTCAAATCTGTAGACACTTTAGTCTTCTATCAAATGAAGGAGGGAAGACATTCATTACACTCTGATCTTGGGCTGTAGTTGAACCACTGGGGTGGTACCATATTGGCAGGGGGCGGGTGAGCCTTGTTTCTGACAGCCCATGTGATGGCCATTTAAAACATTTTCTAAGGAACACTTGCGTAAGGGAGGAGTACAGTGTCTGGCACACTGCTTTCAGTAAGAAAGGGTTGGCTATTAATTTGTTCTTCATAGAAATTTAGTGAACACTTTGTGTGTCCCCACTGAGGTGACCTGGTGGACTTGTGCTTACTCTGTGTGCCTGTTAACTGTTAATGTTTATTCATTCTGAGTAATTCTCTAATCACAGTGCTTCATTTCTCCTTTGCAGAATGAAAAAGTTGTTTTGGGAAGATGTTCCAAACCCCAAGAATTGTTCCTGGGCACAAGGACTTAACTTCCAAAAGGTAACTTTTCAAGTATTTTAACCCAGAATATCTAAGGTTGCACTTTAGATACCCTAAGACTTCCAGATCTTTAAACATCTTTAAGGCTTAAAAGGCTTTATTCTGCTCAAGTCATTTTAATGAGTCTGTTCATCATTTGTCCTTAGTAATAGCTGGATGTAGGGATTTGATCAGAGGAAACAAAAATCATTTCCTTATCCCATAAGAGCTGAGAAATACACCTATCAGTTTTTCTGGTCACAGTGAATGAAAAAATAAATACTACAGGAGGAGGGAACAATATAGATGGAGAATAGAGAGTTGACTAAATTTTTTTTCAGTATAAATTTGCTGTCTTTAGGCAAAAAGCTTAGAATCAATATTATGTTTCTACTGTTTAATATTCACAATTATTAGTACAGTGTTATTAGATGCTACAATCAGAAGGATACAAGATTATAAAACTCACAGTGATGGAGATTTGTAGTTGAAAGAAAGGCTTTCAACACTTGCAGCATTGAAAGGTCTTAATAAGTATCAGTTATTGTTTTATGTTACTGTTTACATATTTATACATTGTAGACTATTGCTGCCTTTAGCTTATACTGGTGAGGTACCTTACTTTAGAACCAGGATTAGGTTCCCCTTGGGAACTTATTCTAATTGTAACTGTTGTAGATAGTGACATGACCCACAGGGAGAAATACATACATTTCCTCTTCCAGTGTAGCACAGATATATGGAAAAATAAGAGAAAATTTGTGGGAATACTGAATGCTTGTAAAATTTTTTTTATTTATTTTTATTTTATTATTTATTTATTTATTTATTTTTGGTTTTTGCAGACAGGGTTTCTCTGTATTGTTTTGGAACCTGTCCTGGAACTAACTCTGTAGGCTAGGCTAGGTTGGCCTTGAACTCACAGAGATCCACCTGCCTCTGCCTCCCAAGTGCTGGGATTAAAGGCTTGCTCCACCAATGCCTGGCCAAACTCTCATATTGTTTTTTTTTTTTTAAATGCTCTTGGCAACCCACAAATCTGATCCTCCAACATTCAAAAGGCTGCATTGCAGCCAGTCCATGGATGAGCAAGCAAGTGCTCTTGCACACGCCATGCGCAGCTCACCTGGTTGAATACGAGTCTTTCATCAGATGAAAAAACACCCTGTTTTCACAGCCAGCTGTGCAGTTTTGCATTTAGCCTTTCACTCTGTGGAATCTTTGCTTTTCCTAATGCTAGCCATCTGCCTCGGACTCCTCAGCTGTGCTCTCCCAGCTTCTCACCCTGGGCTCCTTTTATTTCGGTAGTATAACTGAGTTTGTGTCAACTCACAAAATAGCACTCTTCCCTCTCCCCACTGCCCCCACAGTGAATTCACAGAGTAACATTTCTCCTAATCTCAGATACTCACACACATCATTCATGGATTTATTCGATGGGCACAGAGTGGGTGTTTATAGATAAGGAGAGATTGCTGCTAGACTCCAGAAGAACAGATTTTCAAGAAATCCTCCTTGTCTTCTAAGAAATAAGAGCAGGGTCTCAGAAGAGTGGCTAGGTCGAAGGAATAAGAACTTGTCTCTTTTGCTTCTGTAACCCTTGCTCATTTTTACTTGTATATTCTCTGGTGTATTCATCTCATTAGTTTATAATATTACAGAAAGCCTGCCCTCTGCCAGTCACTTTGCTGTACCTTGGGGCTTTATTGGTGAGAAACACTATGTGTGCTCCTGGACTGTACAATCTGGTGGGGGAAGATAAAAGCCCATCGGTTTATCATTAGAAATCACTTCACAGCCATAAGCTCCAGTGTGCGGAGGGCTAGGATGTGGGAACCTGTCATAGAGCGTGGATGGGTATGAGTGCACATAATTAAGAGAGAGACATTTGATCTTGTTGTGGTGGGGCACACCTGGGATACATATCCAAGTTCTTGGAAGGTAGAAGGGGGATTGTTGTAAGTTCGGGGTGGCATAGTTACTTTGAGGCCTGTGTAGATTACATAGAAACACTGTTTCCATGACAAGGACTTCCCAGGTCCAGCCACAATGTCCTCTCAGGGTCTAGGCTTGAGGCTTACCGCAGGCGGGTAGGGCTGGCTAAAAGGTCTGAGGGTGAACAAATCAGTTCATACATGCATCATTCTTCTCATGGCCTTTTATGTGTTAAAAAAAAAAAAAAGTTCTTCCTCAAAAGTTTTTCTCAAAAGTTCTTTCTCTAAAAGCTCTCTTCTTAAAAATTCTCTTAGAAGCTGAGTGTTGGTGGCTCCCGCCTTTAATCCCAGCACTTGGGAGGCCTAGGCAAGCAAATCTCTGTGAGTTTGAGGCCAGCATGGTCTATAGAGCGAGTTTTAGGACAACCTCCAAAGCAATAAAGAGAAACCCTGTCTTGGAAAACCAAAAAATTAAATAAACTGTAATAAAAAAAATAAAAATTCTCTCAGATCCCACAAGATTTGTAGTTTTTATATCCACAGACACAATTGACAATTCTCTGACAATGGCAAAGATACTGGCCATGCATGTCTCTCAGAGCCAGGAAGGCAGATAAGGTCTTGACAAAAGGGAGGAGTCCTGACTTGTAAAACATCCAGGCAAACTTAAGTCTCTGAGGGGTTGTGACTTATAAAACTTGTGGGCAAACTTAAGAGGTGGAGAAAGGGGCTATGGTTTCTAAGATGGGAGAAGGAGAGTTGGTATGTAAAACTACTGTTGTGTGGTTAGTTAAACTAGGAGTTTATATTGGTAAATGTAAAACAAGGAAGAAACACTAGTTTATAATTGATAAATGTAAAAACAGGAAGAAACACCATATGTGTTGGGGTTTGCTTTTGCTTTCCTGGTAGCTGGAAACACAGCATCATAGTAGCCATGACAACTTGCATAAGCTGTGGAAGGAGAATGGAGCTTGATCTGTATTCCCATCTTTTCCTAACACAAGATCAAAGGGAGAGGCAATGTGAGATTTAGAGACCGCAGCTTCCAACCTGGGGTGCTCTTACTGCTGATACCGGTGAGGAACTTCCTTTCTCTGGGGTCTTTTTGAGAATATAAAGCACCCAGTATATGTTCTATATATCAAGATTATACAGCCAAATTCATAGCAACAGATATTTTGGAGTCTGTATTGCAGACATTGCAAGGCAAGTTTTCTCCATCACAATTTAATTCTGGTGGGTTGATACCTAGATTATTGATTGTTATTTCTGTAATAAATGGTAAAGGCTCTCAGCATTTCAGTAAATAGGCATAAGGGAAAGAAACGAGAGAGAGAATGATATTTGAGTCAGATCTGGCAGATGAATAGTCATTATCTGGCTCTGTTAATGGAAGTGAAGATACCTTCAAGGTCAACTAGCAATACATTCTCAAACTAGAAATACAAAGAACAGATTAGGAACATACCTCCTCTAACAAGGCCAAACCTACTCCACCAAAGTCATACCTCATGATCCATCTAATCCTTCTCAAACACCAACTAAGAACTAAACATGCAAATATATGAACCTATGGAGGAAGTTTTCATTCAACCTCCGCATTCCACTCTCTGACCCCTACAGGCTTGTAGCTATATCATAATGCAAAATACATTCTGTTGCTGGAGTTTCTTGTCCCGCCAGGTCCCACTGCCCTGCAGCCCCAAATAAGCACACGGATGCTATATTAATTATATAACTGTTGGTCAATTGTCAGAGCTTCTTATTCCTAGCTCTGTCTTAATTATTAACCCATTTCTATAAATCTATGTATTTCCATTGGAGAAAGCCTAGACATATTACACCTTTGGTGGCTACATGACATCTCTTCACCTCTCTCCCCAGCCTTCTCCTCATTTCCTAGCCCCGCCTATCTTTCTGCCTGGCCAATCAGTGTTTTATTCATGAACCAAAAAAGAAACATATATACAGAAGGATACCCCCCATCATCTCCTCTTTTCTGTCGAAATAAAAAGAAAGGTTTTAACTTTAACAGTAAAATTATATATAACAACAGTTATCAAGTATGAACTATAATTAACAATATTCATTAACCTTTGGCAATTTTTAAAGAAAATGTTCTATCATCTATCCTATCTTTGTGAGTCTAAAGTTTTATGTGTAACTTATCTTTAATCATAACTAAGGAAACCCATAACCATAACTGTCTTCAGCCCCATCAAAGACCTCAAAAGGATAATATATAAACTCTAGAATTGACAGAGACATCTCGCTGCCTGGACAGTCACCCAAAGCTCTTCTATAATGTGGGCACATCCTTCTTCAGCGTACAGGCCTAATGTGTCTTGCAGACTTCTCAGTGAAGCAGGAATGTTTAAACTGTCTACCTTCATTGTCAGTTTTTCAGTCATTTGTCTCTGTGTCCTGCAGAATGTCTGGTAGACTCTTCCATGAAGCAGGAACCCAGCAGCAATGTCCCATATTGTTTTTTCAAGGTCAGCAGTCACTTTCCTATGGGCCCTGCATGTACACCTTATATAGCATATAGTAAAACAGTCCAGACAAGAGTAGTTCCTTGCCCAAATGGCTAGTCTCGCCATATTGAAAACAACTCCATATCAAGTTTCTTTGATGCCCATCCTCCTTTCTGACTTAATTGGTGTTGCCAAGAGCAGTTGTGTCTCTTTGCCATAAAAAACCCTAAACCATTTTAAATGCCATATTCTATAGGTCTTTGAAAGGTTTGAAGAATATGTATCCATTTGAAATATATCTCTATATATCTAGAAAACGTAACTAACATGATTATAAGTTTTGACTATCATAGGTGACTATAATCTGTATTTAATTATACATTATATTTTTAAATGAGCTGTATAAACATAATATCTAAACAAGAGAAGAAATATACATATCACAAAATTGACCTTAAATTGTATAAATTAAAAAATCCATGCCAATACAAAATATTCATTTTTATATCATATTCCTCATTTTTTTCTTTAGAGATTGGCTGTGATCATTTACCATTTATAACCAACCCTGTTTAAATGAAAACAAACATTTATAAACAACATTTGTGAT